GCCTTTCAACATTGGCTCCTCAGGAATGTGCAGAGGTGCCAACTTGAATGAAATATTGGCGTGGGGGCAGGTAGGCCCTGCCCCACATAATCACAAGACGTGGCACGCATGCACCATTTGAATGGCAATATCCATCAATTTGGGGGGAGGCGCTGGCCCCCTCAACTATTTCACTGGGGTGGGGCACAAAGGCACCTCAGCTCCTAGGAATCGGCTTTTATAAACCTGTGTCATATGTATGAGTTTACGTCTATACATATAATACTTTTTTTTTTCATTCAACTTGCTAAAAAGTGCAACTAAACCTGTTAAAAACAGTGTAAGTATAGTCTTAAGACTGTGTGAGCTGGCCTGCCTAATGACCAGGGGTCAAATGAGATAGAATGAAGACACCCACCTTTGGTGTTGCCCCATTAACATATCAGGTAATGGTAAAGGTAAAGGGACCCCTGATCATTAGGTCCAGTCGTGACCAACTCTGGGGTTGTGGCGCTCATCTTATATTACTGGCCGAGGGAGCCGGCGTACAGCTTCCGGGTCATGTGGCCAGCATGACTAAGCCGCTTCTGAAGAACCAGAGCAGCACACGGAAACGCCATTTACCTTCCCACCAGAGTGGTACCTATTTATCTACTTGCACTTTGACGTGCTTTCGAACTGCCAGGTTGGCAGGAGCAGGGACCGAGCAACGGGAGCTCACTCCGTTGCAGGGATTTGAACCTCCAACCTTCTGATCGGCAAGTCCTAGGCTCTATGGTTTAACCCACAGCACCACCCACGTTCCACAACCCATATCAGGTAGGAAATGTCTAATTTCAATATCTTAGGGGACACATAGATGAGGAAAGCCGAACCATCGCTTTACCTCCCTGTGGTCCTTCCTGTAGGTTAGGGGTAGGAAATCTCAGGAGGCCAAATGTGACTCTCCAGTCCTTTCTGCCTGGTCCTCAGGACTCTAGCCAGGCCACATACCTTACCAGCCCTACTTTACAGCCTCTGCATGCCCCCATGTTAGTGTCCTTCAACAATGATCATGCTTTTTGCTTGCCTGGATAGAAACTTGCTTACTGTACAGAGGTAAAAATTGCATTCTTGGTTTTGCAGTGGCCCTTTCCACCCCACCCCCAGAAAATTGCCCAGTAGTAGCAAACAGGCTCCCTTACCCTACCATAGAGACCTTTGTTTTCTGCAAACAATTCAGATCTGATACCAGAAGTGGGCGTGGCACTTCCCATTCCTTTGGTTTGTGAAATATACTCGGAGTCGAGAGTGGATTTCATGCTCTTTATTCAGCTCATAGTGGGAGGAGGAATGAAAGTTCCTCCGAAGTATCTGCTTTATATACATTATTTACACAGTGGGCTGCACGTGATTGGCTAATTCTGAAATTCTCCTGTAGGCCAATCAGGTTGTGGATTCACTTCCACCTGGAGTTGGATTGGGTGGCTCCTGCAGACTAATCATACTGCTGCATTTTGGATCCTATTGTTCTAGGACCAATCAGAATGCTGCATTTTGGATCCTATTGTTCTAGGACCAATCAGACTGCTGCATTCTGAATCCTATTGTTCTAGGACCAATCAGACTGCTGCATTCTGAATCCTATTGTTCTAGGACCAATCAGACTGCTGCATTCTGAATCATATTGTTCTAGGACCAATCAGACTGCTGCATTTTGGATCCTGTTCAACTCAGTACTTTCTGAGTACTTTTGAGAGCCAGTGTGGTGTAGTGGTTAAGAGTGGTGAATCTGGGCAACTGGGTTCGCGTCTCCGCTCCTCCACATGCAGCTGCTGGGTGACCTTGGGCCAGTCACACTTCTCTGAAGTCTCTCAGCCCCACTCACCTCACAGAGTGTTTGTTGTGGGGGAGGAAGGGAAAGGAGAATGTTAGCCGCTTTGAGACTCCTTAGGGTAGTGATAAAGCGGGATATCAAATCCAAACTCCTCCTCCTCTTCTTCTTCTTCTTCTTCTTCTTCTTCTTCTTCTTCTTCTCAGTACATAACAGTTTGTTTAAAAAAATTAATTAAACTCAGTTAATAGCAGGTTCCCCGTGCGCATTTTAATCAGAATAGCTGTGTTCCTTTCCCCACTGCAGTCCTGATCAAAACCTCACCAGCACCCTGAAAATGTTTGGACCGCGTTGCGGGTGGTTTCACAGAAAGGAGAAAGCAAAGGCCAAACTGGGCCCAATGAGTGAATTTAATTTCTCTTCTCCCTGGTCACGGATTCTACCAGTCATTTCAGCCAGTTCCATATAGTCCATAAGTTTCATCTGCCATTCCTCCAGCGTGGGAAGTTCTTGTGTCTTCCAATACTTTGCGATGAGTATTCTTGCTGCTGTTGTTGCATACATAAAGAAAGTTCTATCCTTTTTAACACCATTTGGCCGACTATGCCCAGGAGAAAGGCCTCTGGTTTCTTAGGGAAGGTATACTTAAATACCTTTTTAATTCATTATATATCATTTCCCAGAAGACCTTAATCTTTGGGCACGTCCACCAAAGGTGAAAAATGTACCTTCAATTTCTTTACATTTCCAACATTTGTTATCGGGCAAGTGATAGATTTTCGCAAGCTTGACTGGGGTTATGTACCACCTGTATATCATTTTCATAATATTCTCTCTTAAGGCATTACATGCCATAAATTTCATACCTGTGGTCCATAACTGTTCCCAGTCAGCAAACATAATGTTATGTCCAACGTCCTGTGATTTAATTTCTCTATTTGTTTTTGGAGTGAAAAAAAGGTTTGGTTCAGGAAATTAACACTGCTTCTATCCACAGGGTGAAAACAGCCCTTTAAACTTTTAGAGTCGTTTCGTTGAACCAGCGCCTTAGCCAGCTTTCTGTGGAATGTTCAAAGGTGCCCTGAGTAATGTGGAGATAACTATTAGAGAGCCCTGTATCTAGGTAGATAATTCTCTCCTTGAAGAAGTCTGCTGTCAAGACACTGTTTCCTGTAATACCAAAGAATCTGTGGTATCTTAATTGCTGATAATATGAAACCAAGTTCTGCAACAGGCTCTCCCCCTCCCTTACCAACTCTGGTTTTGCATCTGCAGTGACAATACAGTTACAGGAACTTAACTGCTGTACCATCTTTCCTGCTAACAGGGGCTCATTTACTTGTCCATCTTCCGGTGTCTTACTCATATTAAACTATATCCTTCTTGTCAATCGGAGCACAGGAACAGAGTTAGGGTTTTGTATACTGGTTTTGCATCTAGAGGATAGATGGTGTGTGTTTTTAATTTCTACTTCAAGGAAAGCTAGATTCTGTGAGTTGTAAAGTTGTCCAAATTTAATGTGTGTGTGCTTGGGAAGACAGGCGAACTAATACCAGTGTACTGGAAGAAGCAAAGATCACCAGTGTTGAAGCAATGATTCTTCAGCATCAACTTCGTTGGACTGGTCATGTTGTGCGGATGCCCAATCCTCTTCCAAAGCAACTACAGTGGTGCCCCGCAAGACGAATGCCTCGCAAGACGAAAGAGTTTTCCGTTTTTTGAGTCGTTCCGCAAGATGAATTTCCCTATGGGCTTGCTTCGCAAGACGAAACGTCTTGCGAGTTCGTTTCCTTTTTCTTAAAGCCGCTAAGCCGCTAAGCCGTTAATAGCCGCTAAGCCGCTAATAGCCGTGCTTCGCAAGACGAAAAAAACGCAAGACGAAGAGACTCGCGGAACGGATTAATTTCGTCTTGCGAGGCACCACTGTACTCTATTCCAAACTTAAAAATGGAAAGCATAATGCCTGGTGGTCAACAAAAGAGGTTTATCTAAAAGGGAAATCTAAAAAAATGTAGTATAAACACCAACAACTGGGGAACACTGGCCTGCGAGCGCTCCAATTGGAGAACAGCCTTTACCAAAGGTGTCATGGGCTTTGAAGACACTTGAACTCAGGATGCAAGGGAGAAACGTGCTAAGAGGAAGGCATGCTTGGCAAATCCACACCGTGATCAACTCCCGCCCGGAAACCAATGTCCTCACAGAGGAAGGATGTGTGGATCCAGAATTGGCCTCCACAGTCACTTACTCAGCTACGAGTGATAGAAGAAGAGGAAGAAGAAGAAGAAGAAGAAGAAGAAGAAGAAGAAGAAGAAGAAGACGACGACCTTTTTCATTTCTGCCTATGATGGGGAAGGGCTTGGAATGACATGGAAGTCTCATTGCAGACAACTACAAATCCTAATCAATTCCACCCTACTGAGATTTCACCAAGAGCCATGCACTTAAACCACGTTCACACCACACGTTTAAAGCAGTATCACCCTCACTTTAAATATTCATGACTTCCCCCTAGGAAGAGAGGTTTGCTGCTGAAGGTTGTTAGGAGACCACTATTTTTCTCACGTAACTTCAGTTCCCAGAGTGGTTTAGCAAGCATCCCTTCTTCCGAAGGAACTCTGGGAATTGTAGCATACCCTCCAACATTGCTCCGATGAAAACAGGGACATCTTATCCCATACCCTTCAACAAATCGGAATCCGGAATGGCTTCTGTAAATCTGGGACTGTCCCTGGAAAATGGGGACACTTGGAGGATCTGTTGTAGCTCTGTGAGGGAAATGGAGGCCTCCTACCAATTCAGTACACTTAACAAATTCCAGCTCCCAGAATTCTTTGGAGGAAGCCATGACTGCTGAAATATTTTAATGTCTGGTCAAAATGTGACCACAAACGCACACATATTTTGAAATCTAGCTCCATGGCCTTAAGGGGAAAGGAAAGGAAAGGAAAGGAAAGGAAAGGAAAGGAGGAAAGAAAGGAAGGAAGGAAGGAAGGAAGGAAGGAAGGAAGGAAGGAAGGAAGGAAGGAAGATCAGCTGGGCTGTCTGTATGCTAAACTCTACATCCAGTAATAATTTGTGCTGCATCCAACTGCAATTATGGGATTGTTCAATACACACAGCTTTTCACCAATTTGATGCTTTCTTTATAGCGGAAACCAGTGAGGGAAGTACTTCAGTAGATAAGCAGAACAAAGGAAAAGGACTCTTCTTACCAGTTAGAAAATTTAATAATCACAGCAAGAGAACAAAGAACCCATCTTCTAGGAATGGCAGTGCTCCCAATTAAGGATTCCACCCTCTTATGTCTCTATTAATCTACAACATTTCTACATCTTGTAATCTGATCTTGTACCCTCTGTGCTTTGTGTGCTTTCTGTTCTGCCACTTTCTGAGCTCTTCTTGACCTTGGGGAGAGCGGAGGAATTATTATTATTTTATTATTATTATTATTTATTTAATTTCTATACCGCCCTATACCCGAATGCTTTCCACAGACAGTGAATCTGTTAACCCTCTCTCTTCCAGTGTTTCTTCTCCTAGCTGTTCACCATCCAGTATTTCCCAGCTTCTGCCTTCTGGACTATGTCCCTCTGCAAACCACGGTTCCAAATCTATACTGCCCTCCTGCTCCTGGGAAGATTCACTCTATTTTTGGGCACTGTGTTCTGCAGCATGGAAGCACTACTGTCATGAGGACTGGTTGTGTCATGCATAGCTGTTGGCCTGGAATCAGGGCCAGAGATGAGGCTATGGAAAGTTAGGTGTTCCCTTTGTCCTACACCTGATTCTGAAGCCTTGGGCAAAGAATCTCATGCTCTCTGCTGAGCCCAGACATGATTCCTCTGCAAGAATGTAACTGCAATTGCCCTCTTACAGAAAAGTGCCGAAACAAGTTGGGTTTGTCATGATCACTTATGGTGTGGCTGATGCCTAAGTTCCTACATGTGGAAAACACCAGTAAGAAACCATTGTGTCTGTTAACCCCAAGCCATTTATAAATGCATCACTTTATCCCAGCTTTTCGAGTACTAGTGATGACATCAAGAATCTCAAGAAGAGATTTCCAAAAGTAATTATTTTTTTGACTTGCACAGTTCCAAAACTACTACTTCCTCGCCCCTGTCATTTTCCACTCTTTGTCTAAATATGGAAACGGGTCACAGCGTGCTGTTCTCTTTGCCATTGTGTCCACGGGGTTATAAGCAGACCTGGAGACATTCGAGCTAATTAGTGGTCACTTTTTGCCCTGGTCAAAGGTTTGTGACTGCAGTGTGTGGGAAACAGGAAAGACAAACTGAGAAGCTGAAATCCAAGTTTGTGGGACTTGTGGAAAGGGGCTGCGCCTCTGACAACTCTGTCGGCGAGAAAAAGAACCCGAGATGTTGACGTTTTGAGCTCTTGAAAACAAATTGAACGGTGAATGTTTGCTCCAGCTGGAGAAAGGGCTGCAAAATGTTTTTGCAGTTGAGCATATTAAAACAAAAGTTCTGAAACCAGATAGCTGTACAGTTGCACTTTGACCAGGATATATTGTTTAGATTTGAGTTTGCAAGGAGGGAGAGGGCAGAGGAAGCTCCTTGCATGCCAAAATGTCTTTGACTTGTGTTTTGATTAAACACTGTTTTGCTAACTTTGACTTTGTTTCTGCTAATGACAAAACAGCCCAACCCTCCACTGCTGGCTCTGCTTCACACACCTGTCTTTGTCAGCACACAGGATTCTTGTGAATGAGTCAGCAAGCACAGATGCTAATTAAGTTTGACAGAAGGCAGATACTGAATGATGCAAGAGTCCATTTCCACTTTTATGTTGACCACTGGCTTCCTCCTCTCCCTCCTCCCCACCCCTTCCTCCATGCATACACACCCTGCCAGGTTCATAAGATGGGAGTAGAGTAGCACTTGAAGGATGGCACTGCATTGTTGTTGTTTAGTCATTTAGTCGTGTCCGACTCTTCGTGACCCCATGGTCCAGAGCATGCCAGGTCCAGAGCATGCCAGGCACTCCCTGTCTTCCACTGCCTCCCGCAGTTTGGTCAAACTCATGCTGGTAGCTTCGAGAACACTGTCCAACCATCTCGTCCTCTGTCGTCCCCTTCTCCTTGTGCCCTCCATCTTTCCCAACATCAGGGTCTTTTCCACGGAGTCTTTTCTTCTCATGAGGTGGCCAAAGTACTGGAGCCTCAGCTTCAGGATCTGTCCTTCCAGTGAGCTACTGTCTCCAGAAGCAGCCTGCAAAGCAGTTGGCTAGCAGGAGTGGCCAGCCACCACTTTGGGACAATTGAAAGGAAATACAAATTCCTATCTTCACCAATGACCATCAGGAACATATGAAGCTCCCTTAGCTAAGTCCAGCTCTATCTACTGGCTTTGGCTCTCCAGTGGAAAATTCACATATAACCTGTTGTCACACACACACACACACACACATGATTTTTTATGAATATCTCTCTCTCTCTCTCTCTCTCTCTCTCTATATATATATATATATATATGACTGATGAGAGTGATGTCCACTATTTCCAGGAACTTTTCTCATTGTGAGACTTTGATGGGTGAGCTGAGAGTTTGTTTGGACCCTGAGTGAGAACCCAGAGGCTGAGAGGGAGAGTATGTTTAGGGAAGCTTTTAATGTTTAATAGGTTATTGTATTTTAATATTCTGTTGGAAGCCACCCAGAGTGGGCGGGGTATAAATTTATATTATTATTATTATTATTATTATTTATTAATTTATTTATTTCAAAGGAAAATGAATTCATATTGATTTATACATATTAGGACCTTCTCATTTATGCAACATTCTTATATGTAACTGTGTGTTTTGTAATATTTTGTTTCAGTTGTCTGTTATCTCTTCAGTTTTCCGTACACCACTTAGAGATATTTTAAATATATTAAGCAGTATTGAAATTAGATAATCCTGTGTGTGTCTGCGCAAAGCAAGTTCACCACCCCTGAGCTGGGACTGCTCCCTAAACATCTGAGTCAGTGATATGTAAATATGCAGATGCATTTTCACGAAAGATAGGGGGATGCTGTCCCCTCCCTATTGAGTACAGTTGTACCTTGGAAGTTGAACAGAATCCATTCTGGAAGTCCGTTTGACTTCCAAAACGTTCGAAAACCAAATCGTGGCTTCTGATTGGCTGCAGGAAGCCGCAGAAGCCCCATTGGATGTTCAGGTTCCAAAAGAATGTTCTCAAACCAGAACAATCACTTCCAGGTTTGCGGTGTCTGAGTTCCAGGGTGTTCAGGATCCAAGTATGACTGTACTTAAGGTTTTTGCAACATTTAAGCAAACTTCAGTCCAGGAGATGCATCGTGATTATTTTTTTACGCAGAAACAAATGTAAGTTAGGTAAGTTAGGTACCTTATATTAAATAGTAAGCATGGAGGCAAATAACATAGTATTTGGTGGAAACTGAACTGCAGTGGAACAGAAACAGCACTGATGGTGACAAATACAGGTTGACTGCCGTCTTACATCCCTAGCATAACTTCTCCTGTGTTATAAATAATAATTATTTAAATATAAACGTTAAGATCACCCTTTAGCTAGAAGACAGCTAGACATTTCTGCACATTGTCAACAATACGAGAATGTGGGACACATGGGGCACACTATTATTCTGACGCAAATGTACCCTCTTATATCCTTAATAGAATTAAAGCATAAGCTTTTTTTTTTCCTTTAAAAAAATCTAGACTGTGGCCTTTCACTACTATAAACACTTTCAAAGAACAGTTATGGCATAGAAGCAGTGACTGGAAAATCTGTGTAAGAATTGTTGTCATAGTGGATTCCCATAGGGATTACTTTAATCTAGAGAATCCATTAAGGACAGTGCACTAACTAAAGAGCCTCGGCCTTTTTTTCTCTCCAGACACATACATCAAACTCTATATTAGGCTGTCATATTATCTGCAAAGCTTGTTGAAGGTCTGAAAGAAAACATTTGATATTGCCTTGTGAACTGCTACATGTTATCAGTATCAAGGCATTAACGACCCAGTAATGACTAAAAACTCACAGCAGATAATTATTCGCTCCATCCCTCAAATCCCAGAGAATGTAGCCAAAGGTTTCGCATACAGCAACCCGTGTGCGTTTAAGATGCACAGGGAAGCAGGTCTGTGGTTTTAAAGTCAACAAAGGGCCCACTTCATCTGGAAGGTCTCCTGCACAAAACCCCAATGAAATGAATTATAAGGTTGTACAGCTCTGATTCAATGCGACGTAGCATGCACAGGAGAACGTCTCAGTAGATTGCATTCAAAATGTACACATGCAGTTTTGCAAGAGTAAAAAAAGAGTTGGGGTGGATACATTCTCTGCAGTGCAGAAGAGTGGGTGGCACTGTGGTCTAAACCGCTGAGCCTCTTGGGGTGGCCAATTGGAAGGTTGGTGCTTTGAATCGCTGCGACAGGGTGAGCTCCCGTTGCTCTGTCCCAGCTCCTGCCAACCTAGCAGTTCAAAAGCACACCAGTGCAAGTAGATAAATAGGTACCATTAAGGCAGGAAGGTAAATGGCATTTATGTGAGCTCTCGCTTCTGCCACGGTGTCCCGTTGCGCCAAAAGCAGTTTAGTCCTGCTGGCCACGTCACCTGGAAAGTTGTCTGTGGACAAACACAGCGGCGTAGCGTGGGTTGTCAGCACCCGGGGCAAGGCAAGTAATTTGCGCCCCCTAACCCGGGGCAAGGCAAGTAATTTGCGCCCCCTAACCCCTAACCTGCCGCCGCTGCCAGCTTCTTCTTGCTGCTGCCTGGGCTGGTCTGGTGTGGTTCTCTCCCGCGCTCAGCGCTGCGCTGGGCAGCCGCTGCACTGTCCCTCCCCCAGATAGTCCTCGCTCTCTCTCCGCACCGCACGCCTGGCACCCACCCCCTCCACAGTGGGCGGCGACCCAGCGGCTCGGATCGGATTCGCACAGCCAGCACTGCAGTGAGAGAGAGTGAGTGAGCCAGGTAGGGGCAGAGAGCTGCGAGTGCGAGCGCGCCCCCCAGATGTTGCGCCCGGTGCGGCCGGCCCCCCCTGCACCCCCCACGCTACGCCACTGGACAAACACCAGCTCCCTTGGCCTGAAAGTGAGGTGAGCACCACAACCCCATAGTCCCCTTTGACTGGACTTAACCATACAGGGGTCCTTTACCTTTTACCTTTACCTACCTTTTGTTATTATAGACCTCTGGTAAGGGAACCTAATATGCAGGAACAGGAGAGTAAAAGCAAGTTAAGAAACCCCAGTTTGGTCCAAGGTGAAAAGGACATAATTCTCATGAACATGGTGAGCAATGTGTTGGCGTGCCAGGCAGTGTCTCCTTGTTATTCAGGTGAACAGCAGTTGTGGGCTGGTACATTGGCCAGTTCCTCTCTTCTTCAGCATCAGCATGACATCACAATGGCCTGTGTCTCTCCTGGTTGGACACATCCGTGTGAGAACACAGTGGCCAGTCTGTGAAATAGGCAGCATCAGCATGAGATCACAGTGGCCAGTTTTTCTCCCTCAGGTGGCTAGCATGGGCCACAGTGGGCAGCCCCTGTCCTTCAGGCAGGGAGCATCATCTTGTGGGGAGAGGCATTCATTCGTCTTCGTTCCTCTTCCACTCAGGCAGGCAGTAGCATGTGGACAGAATATTCATTTCTCTTGTGGAAGCTGCCAAAAGCAGCACAATCTCTTTCTCAGTGCGGTGGGCTAAGTTGGGAGCAGATGGTGGGCCCTGTATGTTCTTCGCTTAGTGAGGTGGTCAGCAGATGTATGAGAGTAGTGGTCATCTCACTGAAATGGGCAGCAGCATGCGGACAGAGAAGCAGCAGGCAAGGCAAAGAGCAGGCAAGTAGACGATCCATCTATTACAGGGCCTCTCTACTTACAAGAAGTGGACGCAGGTGGCGCTGTGGTCTAAAGCCCTGAGCCTCTTGGGCTTGCTGATCGTGAGGTCAGCAGTTCAAGTGCGTGCAAAGGGGTGAGCTCCCATTGCTCTGTCCCAGCTCCTGCCAACCTAGCAGTTCGAAAGCACACCAGTGCAAGTAGATACATAGGTACCATAAACGGCGTTTCCATGCACTGTAGTTTCAGTCATGGTGGCCTGTTGCGCCAGAAGTGATTTAGTCATGCTGGCCACATGACCCAGAAAGCTGTCTGTGGATGAACGCCGGCTCCCTCGGCCTGAAGCGAGATGAGCACTGTGACCCCATAGTTGCCTTTGATTGAACTTAACCATCCAGGGGTCCTTTACCTTTTACCCTATTCTTTGCAGTTTATAAGGGCCAGGAGGGCACACAGACACGTTTTTCAGAGTCAAGCAGTTTAAATACATTATTACAATGCAAACATAGAGGGTTTCCTTAGAAAATTGTATTTTCTGCATTATATTGGCAATGTATTGTATTGTATTGTACAGTGGTACCTTGGGTTAAGTACTTAATTCGTTCCGGAGGTCCGTTCTTAACCTGAAACTATTCTTAACCTGAAGCACCACTTTAGCTAATGGGGCCTCCCGCTGCCGCTGCACCGCTGGAGCACGATTTCTGTTCTCATCCTGAAGCAAAGTTCTTAACCCGAGGTTCTATTTCTGGGTTAGCGGAGTCTGTAACCTGAAGCGGATGTAACCCGAGGTACCACTGTACAAACAGTGAAAATATGCTACCTTCACAAAAATGGGTTGAGTCCTGAAAACACACATCTCAGGTGCCAAAGGTGCGAACCAGATACATCCTTGAGTCATGCCTTTCTTATTTGTATTATTACATCTGTAATGAGTGTTCCACACAGTTGCTGCTTGTTCTGCAGATTGTTTTTTCACTTGTGTGCTGCCTTTTTTTGAAAAATCAACAAACATATTTTTAAAAGAATAAATTAGGAAAATGGCATGGGTATAAAAGGGTTCACACACAACATTACTTCCCAATGAAATTGGCACAGGGGGAAAGCACAGTAAACTTGGTGTATCCAATCACAAATCTACTGTGTAATGTGTAGTTTGGCCCCAAAGCTCATTGCTTTGACCTTCTGCATTTTTCTCTCTCTCTTCCTCAAAACCAAGGCATGTGTTTTAGAAGAGAGGAGAGGGAAACAAAAGGAAGAAGAACCTTCCTGTTTCTGAGCACAATTCCAAGTGTTGGTGCTGACCTTTAAAGCCCTAAACGGCCTCGGTCCAGTACACCTGAAGGAGCGTCTCCACCCCCATCGTTCAGCCCGGACACTGAGGTCCAGCGCCGAGGGCCTTCTGGCGGTTCCCTCATTGCGAGAAGTGAGGTTACAGGGAACCGGACAGAGGGCCTTCTCGGTAGTGGCGCCCACCCTGTGGAACACCCTCCCTTCAGATGTGAAGGAAATAAGCAGCTATCCTAGCTTTAAAAGACATCTGAAGGCAGCCCTGTTCAGGGAAGTTTTTAATATTTAACGCTGTACTGTTTTTAGCACTTGATTGGGAGCCGCCCAGAGTGGCTGGGGAAACTCAGCCAGATGGGTGGGGTATAAATAACAAATTATTATTATTATTATTATTATTATTATTATTATTATTATCCAGCATACGGAGAGCAGGGAGAGAGTAATGTATGCACATTTTCTCACAACAACCATGGGTTTCCTTAGAAGAGTCAGATTTGGTTCTCCTTGCCCATCAGATCTCTCCTCTATGTCACATTCCTTGCAATGGGAGATTTTTCAAGAAGTTCAGATTAGTCCGGTGAGAGGGTCTCTTGTTCCTCAGCCATGCCCAGCCCCTCTTGGAAGTTCCATTTCTAACATTTTCCATCTGCAGTTGCTATGAGCTGCTGAATATTTGAACGTCCTGGAACAAAGTTGCTGTAACCACAACTCTTCAAATTCCATATACCTCAGGACTCTTAACAGATGAACTTTGTTTCTTTTCATCCTCGAGGGCTGAAAACAGCAAACCAGTTTGAAGCTGTTAGATTGAAATACTCGTATGAGTTCAGAGGTTCCACGCCAAACATGGTGGAGTTTTTGTTTTGTTTTGTTTTGTTTGGGGGGGTATGTTTATTTAAAATCTATATATTAAATGCCAACCACTCCCCTCTACAGATGTGATATGAAGCTACTCACTGAGGTCTCACAGGAGGGTGGTTATGGCTTTGTTTAAACAGCCTGCAGAAAAGGGGGGGGTAAGTATCTGGAGGAAAAGAGGCTAAAATAAATGAAAAGAGATATTGAAAAAAAGTGAGAGAGGCCACAGCGCAGTGGTGGTGGAGCACATGTGTTGCATGGAAATTCAGTTCCTGACATCTCTGATTAAAACACGTGGGCAACTTTTTTTTTTCTTCATATCAATGTCCTTATTACTTCACATGTCCCTACTTTCCAGGAACAGTCCCAGATTTACAGAAGCCGTCCCAGTTTCTGATTAAATCCTGGAATGTCCTGCTTTTCCTTAGGACATCCCTATCTCCATCAGAGAAATGTTGGAGGTTTTTGGTAATGCAACCCCCTGAGCCAAGGAGATAAGTAACTATACAACCTTTAGAAGACATCTGAAGGCAGCTATGTACAGGGAAGTTTTTTTAATGTTTAATGTTTTGTTATGTTTTTATGTATGTTGGAAGCCACTCAGAGTGGCCAGGGCAACCCAGTCAGATGGCTAGGGTATAAATAGTCAAATTATTATTCTGATGGAATAGGATATCCACATGAGAAATGTTGGAGGATGTGCATTTTGCAACACCGAGTTACTGCAATGATGGCAGAGGGCAAGAATTCCTCATTTTAGTCTTCCTTTTTTTGGCATTTAGTTTGTCTAACCTTACACAACAGAGTCTTTTCCAAACACACACCTCCCCTTTCTAGAACAGAGAGATTTTGGATATTTTAAAAAAATTAAATAAATGTACAGTGGTACCTCAGGTTACATAGGCTTCACGTTACAGACTCCGCGAACCCAGAAATAGTGCTTCAGGTTAAGAACTTTGCTTCAGGATGGGAACAGAAATCGTGCTCTGGCGGCGCGGCAGCGGCGGGAGGCCCCATTAGCTAAAGTGGTGCTTCAGGTTAAGAACAGTTTCAGGTTAAGTACGGACCTCCGGAATGAATTAAGTACTTAACCTGAGGTACCACTGTACAATTGTTATTCAGTTGTGCAGACCTGCCCTTTAGGGCATTTATCACATACAAACTGCTGTGTGGTCAAGCTTTTGGCGTGTGGATGAAGTTGCAGTTTACAATACTCTAGCTTCTCAGCCCAAGCCCTTTCCAAGCCTTACTAAGCAAAATCACTTTAATGAGTGGCCCTCAGTCTAATCTTATGTGTCCCCCCCAACCTAAATTCAAGAGCCTTCTGCAAACAGTGCGTTCAGACTTCTGTCAATCGGGATCTATATCTTCCCTGGTATACTGTAAGTGGGATGGAAGAGGGAAGGAGAGAGAGAGAGAGAGAGAGAGAGAGAGAGAGAGAGAGAGAGAGAGAGAGAATGGGTAGCAGAAAAGGAGAGTAAATTGGGTAGTTCCATCCATTTTGGCTCCGGCCTTACCTGCCACTAGCTTCAGATGCATGCCCTCCAACATTTCTCTGATGAAAATAAGGATGTCAACTACTAGGGACGTGGGTGGCACTGTGGGTTAAACCACAGAGCCTAGGGCTTGCCGATCAGAAGGTTGGCGGTTCGAATCCCCATGACAGGGTGAGCTCCCGTTGCTCGGTCCCTGCTCCTGCCAATCTAGCGGTTTGAAAGCACGTCAAAGTGCAAGTAGACAAATAGGTACTGCTCCGGCGGGAAGGTAAACAGCGTTTTCATGCGCTGCTCTGGTTCGCCAGAAGCAGCTTAGTCCTGCTGGCCACATGACCCAGAAGCTGTACGTGGGCTCCCTCGGCCAATAAAGCGAGATGAGCACCGCAACCCCAGAGTCGGTCATGACTGGACTTACTACTACTACTACTACTACTACTACTGCTATATTTATACCCCACCAATCTGACAGGGTTGCCATAGCCATGCTGGGTGGTTTCCAACATATATAAAAACATAAGAAAACATTAAACTTTTTTTAAAAAAACTTCCCTATACAGGGCTGCCTTCAAATGTCTTCTAAAGGTTGAATAGTTACTTATCTCCTTGGCTCAGGGGTTACATTACCATACCCTCCAACATTTCTCTGATAAAAATAGGGACATCCTAAGGAAAAGCAGTGCATTCCAGGATCAAATCAGAAACCAGGACAGCTTCTGTAAATCTGCAACTGTCTCCGGAAAACAGGGACCCTTGGAGGGTCTGCAAATGAAGAAGTTAAAAGTGCCACACACAAAAAATCCAAAATTACCCACATAATAATTATATCAGGCTTCCTCAACCTCGGCCCTCCAGATGTTTTTGGCCTAGAACTCCCATGATCCCTAGCTAGCAGGACCAGTGGTCAGGGATGATGGGAATTGTAGTCTCAAAACATCTGGAGGACCAAGGTTGAGGAAGCCTGAATTAGATCCACAAATTGGCTTCCTCATGTCCCCTTCTCCGCTACCCAAAATTATGCACTGATTTTAGTTCATGTATATTTGTTTCCCTTTCACAAAGCTATGTTTTACATGGCAGAGGGGTGTCCTCCTTTCTTGTAGTACAGAATACAACTGTTGTGACTATCTTACTCCTTATCAGTAGGGACAGCATACTTGCCATGCTGTAAGAAGCGGCCTGTTTTATCCGTTGATTTAATTATTTTGCTTGTTATCTTGCCTTTCCTTTGAGCCACTGTTATTGTTACAAAAGTGTAAATCCTACACAAAGCTTTTCCCTTTTGTGGAGGTTCCAAATCTCCAAAGGCTTGTAAGCTGGTGTGAAATACTGGCTTAATTGAGCAGTGTGCTTTTGATTTATTAAAGAAGCCTAAATCCTCTGATTAAACTGACACACAGATTTTCTAGAGATTATCAAATCTAAAATCCATTATTCCAAGGGGCTTAAACCATGTATTGACACCATACATATCTGTGTGTGTGTGTGTGTGTGTGTGAGAGAGAGAGAGAGAGAGAGAGAGAGAGAGAGGAGAGACTGTGATCACTGGCATTTATGGTTGAGCTCAGATCATCTTTGAGCTCATTTACTGTTTCCCACAAACAAAAAAGAAAATCCACTCATTATAAATAGATTTCACATCTTCACTGACTACTGCACAATGGGTGTATGTTAAATCTATGGGATCTAAATGCACATAACTGGATTGTGCCCATTCTTTGTTGTCACTATTGATATGCATCCATCTTTCTATTTCTTTTCTGGTTCTTTGGCAGGAGGAAATTTGTCATAAGGAACTTATCCTATTGCAATCTTAAAGCAAAGCAGAGCTGAGGGGGACTTGTGGTCCTTTAGGTGGCTGCTCAGTTGGTGCTGAGCCACAACAGGGCTTTTCTGGTGGTGGTTCCCCTGCTGTGGAATACCCTCCGTAGTGAGGTGTGTCTTATCTCAGTCATTAACTTTTGGAGGAATTTGAAAACATTAGCGCTTGCCATTTTAGTGTGCTGGAGAATACTGTTCAGGCTCATTGGATGGAATTAGATTTTCAGTTGGAACTGCTTTTAGAAGGTGTTTTTTTTTTTACCATTTCTTTTTAGAATGCTCAAACTGGTTTAGAAAGTTTTTGCTTTTTTTGGAATTGTGTATCTGTGAGAGATACACCAGTGACAGCTGGACCATAAAGAAGGCTGATCGCCAAAGAATTGATGCTTTTGAATTATGGTGCTGGAGGAGACTCTTGAGAGTCCCATGGACTGCAAGAAGATCAAACCTCTCCATTCTGAAGGAAATCAGCCCTGAGTGCTCACTGGAAGGACAGATCCTGAAGCTGAGGCTCCAATACTTTGGCCACCTCATGAGAAGAGAAGACTCCCTGGAAAAGGCCCTGATGTTGGGAAAGATGGAGGGCACAAGGAGAAGGGGACGACAGAGGACGAGATGGTTGGACAGTGTTCTTGAAGCTACGAACATGAGTTTGACCAAACTGTGGGAGGCAGTGGAAGACAGGAGTGCCTGGCGTGCTCTGGTCCATGGGGTCACGAAGAGTCGGATACGACTAAACGACTAAACAACAACATCTGTTTTGTCTCCCTGGGCTCCTTGGAGAGGAAGGGTAGCACACAGTCAACAAATAAAATAAAAATAGGGGTTGTTGGAGTCCATCTCCCATCATGCCTGACTATTGGCCAGGATGACTGGGACTGGTGAAAGTTGAGAGTCCAAGAATATCGAAAAGTACCCATCCTTGGGTAAAGGGAGAAGGCACACATCTCCTCTTCATGCAGCTCTTACAGGAAAGTCCATCATGCAAAACGTTGCTTATATTTAATACTGCAATGTCTAACACTTCCAACCATTTATAATGGAATAAGATACGGTAAAGGTAAAGGTACCCCTGCCCGTTCGGGCCAGTCTTGCCAGACTCTAGGGTTGTGCCTCATCTCACTCTATAGGCCGAGAGCCAGCGCTGTCCGCAGACACTTCCGGGTCACATGGCCAGCGTGACAAGCTGCATCTGGCGAGCCAGCGCAGCACACGGAACGCCGTTTACCTTCCCGCTGGTAAGCGGTCCCTATTTATCTACTTGCACTGGTGTGCTTTTGAACTGCTAGGTTGGCAGGCGCTGGGACCAAACGACGGGAGCGCACCCCGCTGCAGGGATTCGAACCGCCGACCATGTGATCGGCAAGTCCTAGGCGCTGAGGTTTTACCCACAGCGCCACCCTGCATAAGATACGGTAGTATGGCCCAAATGGTTTAGGACGTAGTGAAATTAGCGTCCAGGGGGAATTTTGAATAATCAGCAAAATGTCTGAGATCTTGGCAACAGAACTAGGAAGTGTGTGTTTATCACTCTTTGCTCTTTCCGGGGGATTCTGGAAAAAAGCTCAGCAACTTTTTGGGCAATTCCCCCCCCCAAAAAAAAGCTCAGAGACAATGTCTGAGTAGGGACTGGGGAGCAGTTGGGGTCCATTTGCATTTAAGGGTGAACTTTCCCAATTTACGCTTTCTGAAACAACATGAGAACCAAAACACTGCCATTCTTTGAAATTCGCATTTTGTGGTGCTGTTTCCCAGCCGAGTTAGGTGTACAAAACGGCATAAGCTAACATAAAGCGTGCATAAAACTCCTGATATCAGTGAAATTCCAGCAAAATTGCATACCAAAAATTAGGAGTAATTAGCACTAACTTGCTGGTGAATTTTCATGAGGACTTCCTTTAAAAAAATTGCAAACTGATGTGGAAATGTGAAGAACTGAATTTAAGACTGGGAAAAAAACAGAAACAGAGAGAGAGGGAGAGAGAAATTGACATATTCACCCAACCCTCAGACAGAGTAATATGGGTGTGGACTCACCGGGGGTGGGGGGGCACAGTGTGAAGAAAAGAAAACTTGGGAACCCTCTTTTTGACATTAGTTACTGAAATATACTTGGAGTCGAGAGTGGATTTCATGCTCTTTATTCAGCTCATAGTGGTGAGGAGGAATGGAAGTTCCCCCACAATATCTGCTTTATATACATTATTTACACAATGGGGTGTACATGATTGGCTAATTCCAGGATTCTCCTGTAGGCCAATCGGGTTGTGGATTCACTTTCACCTGGAGCTGGATTGGGTGGCTCCTGTGGACCAATCAGACTGCTGCATTTTGGATCCTATTCAACTCAGTACATAACAGTTACAATGGTAATAAAGGAGGAAGAAATAGATGAGTCAGATTCTATCGATAAAATTCTCAGAATCCCACCCTTTGCCCAGGAAAATTCTATTGTGGCAACTGAATGATGATCTTACTTAGTAAGGCGTTTCATACAACAGGGAGTGCAAACAGCCCTGTTTGATCTTATTTGGCAAGACATACCACGGGGACCAATAACAGCCTTGTCTAGAACTTACAGGTGGACGTGCCAATTTATAAGCCACAGTGCCTGATCTGAAGAGGCTACAATTTCCAGAGTTCACAGGAAAGAGGCATTGGCTGTTAAACCACTCTAAGAATTGCAGCTTTATGTGGGATATAGGGGTCTTCTAACAACTCTGAGTTAATAAACTACACTTCCCATGATTCCTTGTGGAAACCATGGCTGTTCAAAGTAGTGTGGTGTTTCTTTAAGAGAAGATGGGGTCTAAGTCTAACGCCACTTTGAGCGCAAAAGGAAAGGTGGAAGAGCACATGTTCCACATGTAGGAGAATCAAGGTTTAGTTCTCGACTGAAGGACCTCCGAAAGCAAGCAGAGCTAGTAAACATCTCCATCAGAGGCCTTGGGTTGCAGCCACCAGTTGAAGGGTTGTACCCAATGCTCAGAGTAGACTGAAATGAATGGACCTAACATCATTGATTTCAGTGGGTCTACTCTGAGTAGGGCTAGCACAACACACAGTTCAGAGAAAAGAAGGCTAGGCCCATTCTAAATAGTCCAGTGACCAAGCTCTGTGTAAGGTTGTTTGTGTGTATTATTCATATGTGTACAGTGGTACCTTGGTTCTCAAATGTCTTGGTACTCAAACAACTTGGAACCCAAACACTGCAAACCCGGAAGTAAGTGTTCTGGTTTGTGAACTTTTTTCAGAAGCTGAACGTTCTCCGTTCTGAGTGCCACACTTCCGTTTTGAGTGTTACACTGAGGTCTGTCTGTTTTTGCTATTTATTTTGTGTTTTTGTTTTTGAGGCGTTTTTGTTTTGTTTTGTGACTGTGTGGAACCCAGTTCAGCTACTGATTGATTGATTGTGTGATTGCAGTGCATTGTTTATTGCTTTCATTTTATGGATCAATGGTCTCGTTAGATAGTAGAATTCATGTTAAATTGCTGTTTTAGGGGTTGTTTTTAAAAGTCTGGAACGGATTAATCCATTTTGCATGACTTTCAATGGGAAAGCGCGCCTTGGTTTTGAAACGCTTTGGTTTTGGAATGGAATTCCTGAAGTGGATTAAGTTTGAGAACCAAGGTACCACTGTATTATTCATGGTTCTTTGGGAACTAGGACCACATCATATACGGAGAAAACTGGAATTTCTTTTTTCCCCTTCCCATTTTTGGGAACCATCTTGGTTTACCTTTTTGATACAAAGTGTGCAGAAAGGTCTGGGGTCTAAAGAGTTCCAAAAGGTTTTAAATTGGGGCATGGTGGTGGGGGAAAAGGGGAAATAACTGGGGAAACATCCAGTTCCAAACATGACTTAACACAAAGAATAGGAATGAAGGCAACCTACGGTACTTCCAAGATAAATTGCGGGGGAGGCACTACATAGTGCAGGGCCACTTAAAAAGTTACAATAATTATGTTTTACTTTAGGGTAAGGTTTTATTTATCCTGCCAAAACTGTTTTGTCACACTGGCTTATTTTAATGCATTTCAGATTTTGCTAATCTCTGGAAAATCTATGTATCAGTCTAATCAGAGGATTGGGGGATTCTATCCTGAATCAAAAAATATACTGCTCCATTAAGTCAATATGTCATGCTGGCTTATGAGCCTTTGGAGATTTCAGACTTGCAGAAGGAAGGTTCATTCCCTGCCCCCACTTCATGTTAGAGTTAAGCTCTCCTAACCACCGGACTTAAAACAATAATAGAATCTGTCTCAATACAATGGCATCCAAACAGTTGGTTTGCACTCTGATATCTGAGATGCCAAAGCCCTGAGAATATAAAGCCATTCACAAAAAGACTATGCAGTGCATTAGTAAATTTGCTACACACCCCATAACCGCTTAAGGCAAAAATGGAAACAGTGAGCGTTTCCATAGTTAATGCAAATACCCAAAACCGCAATTATTGCTCAGCATCTGTTAGCACACGACTCTAGAAACATTTATCTGTCCTGTAGATTCTACAGACATCCAGCGCTGCTTTGGATGAAAGTCCAGATCAGTGAAATTGAAAGAATGTTCCCGTAGCGATTCCATTTGGTACTGAGCCGGAAGATTAATCCCACCAGCTCTGGTCAAAGTTGTTCCCAGCAGACAATTAACAGCTGTGTAGCACCAATACAATACAACAATGCTTTTGAATTATGGTGCTGGAGGAGACTCTTGAGAGTCCCATGGACTGCAAAGAAGATCAAACCTCTCCATTCTGAAGGAAATCAGCCCTGAGTGCCCACTGGAAGGACAGATCCTGAAGCTGAGGCTCCAATACTTTGGCCACCTCATGAGAAGAGAAGACTCCCTGGAAAAGACCCTGATGTTGGGAAAGATGGAGGGCACAAGGAGAAGGGGATGATAGAGGATGAGATGGTTGGACAATGTTCTTGAAGTTTGACCAAACATGAGTTTGACCAAACTGCGGGAGGCAGTGGAAGACAGGAGTGCCTGGCGTGCTCTGGTCCATGGGGTCACAAAGAGTCGGACATGACTAAACGACTAAACAACAACAAGCACCAATACTTTAACTCAGAGGTTTTCAACCTTTTTGAGTACACGGCTCCCTTGACCAACACTTTTTTTCTGCAGCTCCCCTGTGGTAGCCTCTGAAGTCCAGTTAGGTCACTCCTTGCTTGCAGAGCCGGCAGCCCCTCACTCATTTTTGAACACCCTCCCTTGTGGAAGCCAAGAGAGCATCTTAGGCTAAGCAGATGTTGCTTCTTCGATGAATGTAGTTATAGAGAGAGAGAGATGGTGGCCAGTCCTATGCTTTTGTTACCTGCACAGGTGAGGCCACACCCACCTCTGGTCACATGTAGAGGAAGTCTGTCCCAGCCTAGGAAGAAACAGGAAGTTCCGACTGGCTGATCAAGACATCCCCTTTTTATGTCCACTCTAGGGGTGTTGTACGTGACTGCTCTGAATTTCACATCCCACAGTAAAATCTTACCTGTTTAATGTGTGTGTGTGTGTTTCCTGAAAGCACTATAACTCTCTAAGACTGTGTAGGGCAACCCAGTCAGATGGGTGTGGTATAACTTATAAAATTAGTAGCAGTCGTAGTATAACACACAGCCACACTTCCATTTGTCCTGTGAGGTTTTACTTGTGTCCACTTTTTTTCAAAGTATGTTTTATATGGATTGATTATTTCTACCCACATTGAGCGGATTACACCAGGGTATAGATTTGATTCTGGGTTAATTAATTAAAATGTGGTGGGGAGAAGTTGCCTTGGGACTGTGTGGCTTAATTTAGGTTGAAATTCTATACAAACTTACCTAAGGGAGTTAGCACCACCATTATGAGATTGCACTGATGGTTTTTGATCTGGAAAACCACTAAAAATTACCCACAGTTCAATACAGTTCTTCAGTGTGCCTCAAAGTTGCGTTTGATTTTCAGAACTGAAGCAAGCTTTTTCGATTCTTTTTACAGATGTTTCAGCTTGGTCTGACTTGTGATTAAGAAAATAGCCAATTGTTTTAATAATATATGTGTGGACCTAGAGCTCAGTCCACAGATTGCTTGCTCCCAGCGCACTGGAATATCCATGCTTCTCAAATGCGGAGGGGAATTTCCGAAAGCACAGGAAAAGGAAGGCCTTTTTATAAAATCTCAGCTGAACAAGTTAATACTTGACAGCTTGAATTTATGTGAGCATTAACAAGGCTGATAATTCAGGCTGTTGTTGCCCTTGGTAACATTCCAGCAGTAATGTTTTCACAAAGATGAACTATTTTTAGACAGTTTCTCCAGTGCATGAAAAACAAACAGGCTTTCCCCATAAATTCAGGAAGGCCCATGCCTCCAGGTTTCACTTCTTTTCAAATGGTAACAATGCGTCGTTCAGCCTAGCGAGCAATGCTACTGACACAACATCAATTCCTCTCACTTTGGGTGGTGTAGCCCTTATCAGCGGTATCTAGTCAGGATCTCATCAAAGGGAGAACAAAAGCGGCGCTGCTTTCTTTCATTCTCTCTTCCATGCTTTCATTCGCCAAGATCTTATGGGAATAACACAAGTGCATTGCGTCTGGATTGCTGGGTTGATTTCCATTCCAGACCTGGGAATAATAATAATAATAATAATAATAATAATAATAATAATTGTACCCTGCCCATCTGACTGGGTTGCCCCATCCACTCTGGGTGGCTTCCAACATACAGTGGTACCTCAGGTTACATACGCTTCAGGTTACATACGCTTCAGGTTACAGACTCCGCTAACCCAGAAATAGTGCTTCAGGTTAAGACCTTTGCTTCAGGATAAGAACAGAAATTGTGCTCCGGTGGCGCGGCGGCAGCAGGAGGGGCCATTAGCTAAAGTGGTGCTTCAGGTTAAGAACAGTTTCAGGTTAAGAACGGATCTCCGGAACGAATTAAGTACTTAACCCGAGGTACCACTGTCTAACATTCTTCCATTTTCTTCTAGTTGTGAGGGTGGGGGTGGGGAGGGGCCTCACAAGTGGAGTAGCCTAGAGCCTCTCTTCATCTAAATCTGGCCCTTCTTACATTGGCTCCCGACACATTTCTGAGCACAATTCAAAGTGTTGGTGCTGACCTTTAAAGCCCTCAACGGCCTTGGCCCAGTATACCTGAAGGAGCGTCTCCACCCCCATCATTCAGCCCAGACACGGAGGTCCAGCTCTGAGGGCCTTCTGATGGTTCCTTCAATGCAAGAACCAGGGAACCAGGCAGAGGGCCTTTTCAGTAGTGGCACCCGCCCTGTGGAACGCCCTCCCATCAGACATCAAGGAAATGAAGAACTATCTGACTTTTAGAAGACATCTGAAGGCAGCCCTGTTTAGGGAAGTATTTAATGTTTAGTGTTTTATCGTGTTTTTAATATTCTGCTAGGAGCCACCCAGAGTGGCTGGGGAAACCCAGCCAGATGGGTAGGGTATAAATAATAAATTATTATTTATTATTACCATTTCTGTTTTCATCAGAATTCTCTGACATCCCTCTGACAGTCCCCACCTGATTCCTCCCATTTTCATAAAATCATGGGCTCTCCATGTTCAGTTTTGTAAGCCTGCGAATACCAATTGCTATGGGGAACAAAGACTAATTTAGGGCTAATTTAGGGCTTCTTTAAAGTATGTGTGCGGCCACTGTTGGAAACAGTGGACTAGATGGACCTTTTATTGGATCCAGTAAGTTCTTATAAGCCAGGAGCAGGGAACCTGCTGGGTACAATTCCCATCATCCCTGACCACTGGCCATGCAAGCAGAGGTTGATGGGAGTTCAAATCCAACTGGAGAGACCTACCCTCATCTCCCTTGTTAAAAGGAATTCTCCCAGCTAGAAAAAACCAAGCAAGTGTGGTATAAACACCACATCTCCACACACTGCTGCAAAACTTAAAGGCTTAAATCAACTGAAGTTCTATCCAAGCCAATTAAAATTAAGACATGGTATTACATATACCACTATCATCTCAAATTATTTGTAATGGCAAAGACTTGCGTAAACCTTGCCTAAGAAAATTGTTTGATTCTGTGGTAGATAAGTTGGTTCAGAGAGATTAATTATAAAGCAGCTATTGAGGCTTTAAAGGAGTTATCAGTAATTACAGCAATACCAGGAGTAGATTATGGACCACAAATACATCACCACTGTAATCATACTTAAAGTTTATATAGCACTTTCTAACTTCAAAGTGCCTTATAACCATCCACTAATTAATCTGCAAAGCCTTGTATCTTGCTCATCTTTTGCTGACATAATATATAAACACTGAGTACACTGTCCTTAGGGAGGAATTTTCCTTCAAAACTACATTTACAGAAACATTAAGGTGGGGCACTTTTTATTTATTTTTTTATTATTTTTGTTCTGTGCAACTTGTTGAAATCAAGACATGGAACTATTGAGATGATATCTTCTGTTCAACCCAAACTGCATCTTTAAAGATGTTGGGAGTTTTTGACTTTCATGGCAGTCTTCATAATTTTATGGTGCAATTATTATTTTTTTCCAAAAAAAAAAGAATAGCAGAACAAACTTTTAAGGGCCCATTTGACATAAGCCAGGGATTGTTTCTGCATAAAAATACCAGCTCAGTTGCTAATTAGATTTCCTATTGGCTAGAGTTGACTAGCTTGTGCTGATTTCGGAGGTGCCCAATTAAAACAATGGGATCTGCTTTAGAACCTTTGCAAAGTTGACTAACCCGTTGGGAAACACACACCCATTTCACAAAGGAAGAAATCAAATTGCATTAATATCTCAAAGTGCTATTTTGGCTTAGGGGAAGTTAAATTTCTGAGGCGCACTAGTCTGTTCTGCATCAATTCAGTGAACTTAGGTTAAGCACGGGTTAAAGATCTGGAAGGCACCATGGTGGAGAAGGCTGGGTTGGCCTTGGAGGATGCATTTGGCTTTTGACAGCATTATCTTCTTCCAACTTGAAAATTCTCATCTGTTTAGGCAAAGCCTACAGTAGATGAAAATGCTACTGGCTGTGTTGTTGTTGTTGTTGTTTAGTCGTTTAGTTGTGTCCGACTCTTCGTGACCCCATGGACCAGAGCACACCAGGCACTCCTGTCTTCCACTGCCTCCCGCAATTTGGTCAAACTCATGCTGGTAGCTTCGAGAACACTATCCAACCATCTCGTCCTCTGTTGTCCCCTTCTCCTTGTGCCCTCCATCTTTCCCAACATCAGGATCTTCTCTTCTCATGAGGTGGCCAAAGTATTGGAGCCTCAGCTTCAGGATCTGTCCTTCCAGTGAGCACTCAGGGCTGATTTCCTTCAGAATGGAGAGGTTTGATCTTCTTGCAGTCCATGGGACTCTCAAGAGTCTCCTCCAGCACCATAATTCAAAAGGAACCGGCAAGCCACTCCAGTATCCCTGCCAAGAAAACTCCATGGACAAAGACAACAGGCTACTGGCTGTACCATGACCAAAATGGCTTCAGAAGCATTTCTTTTACTTCATAATGAACTGTTTTGGTCAATGGTGAATTATTTGAAGCTTCAAGTCTCTTTAAACAAACATTTGGTTCCCAAAATGGTGTCTCCCTACTTTCATATATCCCAGTTTTGGTGACATAGCAGCAAGGCCACCAACATTTTGATCAGCCTATCAAAAAGTCTAGTATTTTGCTTGGCGTTACTTGGCGGGGGGGGTGAGTTGAATAGTCCCAGAAGTGGGGAACCTATAGAGCATGACGTTGGACTACAACTCCCATCATTCCTGACTATCAATCTTGATGGCTAGGCCTGAGGGGAGCTGGTGTCCATCAACATCTCCCCATGCCTAATGTAATCACAGAAGGTAAAAGAAAACCAGACAGAATAATTTGTATTTTGGGGGCTATCATTTACTTACTCTTCACTACCATACGTACGACAAGATGCATGGTGCCTACACTGCTTCTGCAACCCCATGCTATGTATTTATCTGCAAACATCAAAGATTTTAGTGTAATCCAGCAGTGGTACAAAATCTGACAAGTATATGAAAGATCCCATTGTCAATTTGCCCCCCTCTGTGTTCTTGCACTGCAAAAGCTGATGACATGCAGTGTGAGCCAGCTGATCAGATGGGCACTGATTCCCTTCTCTCTCTCTCTCTCTCTCTCTCTCTCTCTCTCTCTCTCTCTCTAAAGTCCTCCATGAAGGTGGCAGATAAAAAACAGGGCATTCAAGTAGCTGACAGGGTAACCTGTAAGTGCCTGTCCTGGGCAATCTACTTGTCAGCTTTGCTGGCTAAGAGAGCAGACGCAAGCTTCAGCTGTCAGCTCTGTGTCTTCTCTCCCCTCTGTCTTTCATCATTCTTCGTCCCATGAATAGAGGTCCTATTTTGGACTTATTTATTTATTTGATTTGCCCAGCGCACGGAGCAAAGCGCTCAGTTATCCTGCCGCAACGATATAGGATGAGGAGGAAAGCATCTAGATGTAGCAGCCAGGAGACCTTGAGATCCTCTGCTGTTGTTGCCGATTAGCATGAAAAGCAGGAGGAGGAGGAGGAGCAGGAGTGGCGTGAGGGCAGGAAAGCCCCAAGAAGTGACATGAAGTGGAAAGGGAAAGGTCTAATGGAAAACTGATTTAAAATTTACAGATTGTTCCCTACTGAAAGAGAATTACAAGAAGATGATGTACAGATGGTACACAACACAAGTGCAGTTATGGAAAATGTACAAAACTAGTTCAAATATATGTTGGAAGTGTAAGGAAAAGGAGGGGACATTTTATCATATGTGGTGGGATTGTAAGGTAATTTTAAAAAAATGGGAAATGATATACAATGAATTGAAGAAAATGTTCCATTTAACATTTGTTAAAAAACCCGAGGCATTTTTGTTGGGGATTGTAGGGAAAGACCTGCCAAAAAAGCTGAAAAACATCTCCATGTATGCGACAACAGCCGCGAGAGTTCTGGTAGCACAAGGATGGAAGACTGAAGAAACCTCAACTAAAGAATTGTGGCAAGAAAAATTGACGGACTATGCAGAACTGGCAAAACTGACATATAAGCGATGGGACAAGGATAACTGTGACTTTAAAGATGAATGGGAACCCTTTACAAAGTATCTGAAGACGCAACAAAGCGAACTGGACTCCTTGGCAGGTTTTGAATAAACATTCACAAACTTTTTATTGATAATAATCAGCTAAATAGTTTGAGGATCTATACAACTTTGTAACATGCAGAAAACAGCAGTCTCAGAGAAACCAAAGGCTGGAACTGAGGGAAGTCGGGGGGGGGAGGGAGGAAAAATGGGGGGAAAACAAGGATGATGTGTTTCTGGATAATATGTTTTGCTTTGATTTTGAATTAAAAAAAAACTTCTTTTAAAAAAAGCATGAAAAGCAGGAGGAGGAGTGGCATGGGGGCATGAAGGCCCCAAGAAGTGACATAAAGTGGAAAGGGAAAGGTCTAATGGATTATAGGGGCGTGGGGGAGAATAGGGACCGGGGACAAGGGAAAGGGATAAGGTTGGTGAGAGGTTGGCGAGCAGAGCAGAGCAGGCACAGGGACAAGCATTGCAGTGCATCATATAATGAATTAAAGGGAGCAGACCGTGTGGGTGGCAGCAGCAACAGCCAATAAAGAACCCGGAAAGCAAACATTGCCACCTGATCAAAGATATTGCCAGGCTTTGGGGAATACAATCCCTCCCACGGTGGTAGCCAAGAAGCAGATAGACAATAAAAGTTCTTACCAATTGATTTATTCGATATTCACAGCGAGAGGTGACGGAATGCAGTCTCCCCTAGATAGTCCCACCCCCTACGTCTCTCCTGTTCTATGTCACCCTTACATCAGCTAATCTGAGCTTTCTGCCTCTGAGCCTTCTATTCGACTACCCTCAATGCTTGCCTGGTCCGGGGGGGGGGGCAGGAATGCTTCCCAAGGACACTGAGTCTGTCAGCTGTCTCTCCCCTGGTACTTCTTCTTCCTGCTGTTCCTCTTCTAATATTTCCCAGCTTCTCCCCTCTGCAGCCTCTAAACTATGCCCTTCTGCAAACCACTGTTCTAAATCTATACTGTCCTCCCGTTCTCAGGAAGGTTCAGGAGAACAGGGGACGGCCCCCACCATTCCTCCTCAGTCCAGCCCCTGACAGATATGCAAGTACTTTCAAATTTTGCTCAAGGCAGGGGTTCAGAACCCCAAGGTGGTTAAATTCACCCCTGCAAGGAGGTTTTCGCTACCCATCGCAGGAACTGAATGCGATTCTTTTTAATACAATGCCACATGAATTCATGTGATTTGCTTCCCTAAGACATTACTGGAGTGGCATGGATGCTCTCACGCCAAGACTTGCCACATATAAATTGGGCACAAATCAAGCCCTATCTCTAATTTAAACCAGATCTATAGTGGCCCCCGGGATGTGGGTGGCACTGTGGGTTAAGCCACAGAGCCTAGGACTTGCCGATCAGAAGGTCGGTGGTTCGAATCCCCGTGATGGAGTGAGCTTCCGTTGCTCGGTCCCTGCTCCTGCCAACCTAGCAGTTTGAAAGCACATCAAAGTGCAAGTAGATAAATAGGTACCGCTCTGGTGGGAAGGTAAACAGCATTTCCGTGCGCTGCTCTGGTTCGCCAGAAGCGGCTTAGTCATGCTGGCCACATGACCCGGAAGCTGTATGCCGGCTCCCTCGGCCAATAATGAGTGCCGCAACCCCAGAGTCGGCCACGTCAGGGGTCCCTTTACCTTTACCTTATAGCGGCCCCCTGGCTGTTCCTCCGAAACGCACCTCAACCACCCCAGTCATGCCCCGCCGTTGGAAGACAAAGCTGCATATGCAACCTGCCTAGCCTGGTCCTCCTATACTACAAGATGGCCTAATGTCTCCAGTGATCTCATTCTAAGGAAATTGAAACCCTGGACAAAAACCAGCAGTTTTCACTGCTCAAGAGAATTGTGGCACAGCCGCAAAGCGATACAGTTAAATCAATGTCATGGTTCTAGATCTCAAAGAGCCACCAACATCTTGATTTTATTTTCCTGGAGTAGAGTAATATTAGGGATATAGATTTACTTATTCAGTAAACAAGTTATCAGATCTATGCCCCACCTTTCCTACACCGCACTGGGAGCCAGTGTGGTGTAGTGGTTAAGAGCGGTAGTCTCGTAATCTGGTGAACCGGGTTCGCGTCTCTGCTCCTCCACATGCAGCTGCTGGGTGACCTTGGGCCAGTCACACTTCTCTGAAGTCTCTCATCCCCACTCACCTCACAGAGTGTTTGTTGTGGGGGAGGAAGGGAAAGGAGATTTTTAGTCGCTTTGAGACTTCTTTGTTGTTGTTTAGTCGTTTAGTCGTGTCCGACTCTTCGTGACCCCATGGACCAGAGCACACCAGGCACTTCTGTCTTCCACTGCCTCCCGCAGTTTGGTCAGACTCATGTTTGTGGCTTCGAGAACACTGTCCAACCATCTCATCCTCTGTCGTCCCCTTCTCCTTGTGCCCTCAATCTTTCCCAACATCAGGGTCTTTTCCAGGGAGTCTTCTCTTCTCATGAGGTGGCCAAAGTATTGGAGCCTCAGCTTCAGGATCTGTCCTTCCAGTGACCACTCAAGGCTGATTTCCTTAAGAATGGAGAGGTTTGATCTTCTTGCAGTCCATGGGACTCTCAAGAGTCTCCTCCAGCACCGTAATTCAAAAGCATCAATTCTTTGGCGATCAGCCTTCTTTATGGTCCAGCTCTCACTTCCATACATCACTACTGGGAAAACCATAGCTTTAACTATATGAACCTTTGTTGGCAAGTGAAATATACTCAGAGTCGCAAAGTGATTTCATGCTCTTTATTCAGCTCATAGTAGTGAGGAGGAATGAATTAATGTCCCCTCAAAGTATCTGCTTTATATACATTATTTAGACAATGGGCTGCACATGATTGGAATTCTACTGTAAGCCAATCAGGTTGTGGATTCACTTATATCTGGAGCATGATTGGGTGGTTCCTGCCAACCAATCATACTGTTGCATTTTGGATCCTATTGTTCTAGGACCAATCAGACTGCTGCAGTTTGGATCTTATTCAACTCAGTACATAACACCCCTCCCCTCTAAGTTCCAGTCCTGCCCGGGAGGTCGCATTCATAGTCCTTGAGGTACGCCGGCGGCCTACATGTGCGTTGCGGCCTGGGGTGTTCCCTGGTCCAAGGTTCAGGTTCTGGCTCATGTTCCAAGGATGCTGGCTGTGATGGGGCTGTTTGGTCTGGCGCAACCGGCTCGTTCAGTCGTGGCTCTGGTTCCGGTGTCCTTTCGGCCTCGCGGGTCCTCTCTGTATTTACTGATTTTGCCTCTCCTGCTGGCCCCTCCTGCTCTATGGGCCTCACTGCCCCACTGTTCCCTTGGGACTCCTCTGACCTGTCCTCCTCCTGGTTTTCTCCCGGGAATCGTCGCCGTATCTAGTCGCAGTGGCGGCGCCAGCATTGCCCCCCATCCGTTAGCATCTCGTACGACACGGGGCCAGTGACCCTGGTGACTGTGGCGGGTACCCATGCTGGGCCTGCCCCAAAATTCTTTGCATACACTGGGTCCTGGGCCTCGAAGGTCCGGGGGTTCCTGCCTTCCCCCACCACTACCTCATCCTGAGCTCTATCGGGGTGAAGGCGGTCCAATCTGATTGCAAGGCGCCGACCCATAAGTAGTTCAGCGGGGCTCCGGCCAGTCGTTGAGCTGGGGGTGCTGTGCTGTGCTAGGAGGAATGTGGCAAGGTGGTACTCCCAATCCCCTTGCGTCATGCGGCGAAGGGTGTCCTTGGTGGTCTGCACCATGCGTTCTGCTTGGCCATTGGTGGCAGGGTGGAATGGCGCCGAACGGATGTGGCAGATGGCGTTATGTGCTGTGAAGGTTTGGAATTCTCCTGACGTAAATGCAGTCCCGTTGTCTGAGACGAGAGTCTCAGGGAGCCCGTGGGTTGCAAAGAGCCTGCATAGTACCCGGATGGCTGCGGACGTAGAAGTGGACGGTACCAGTGCGACTTCCAGCCATTTGGTGTAGGAGTCCACCACTATGAAGAATGTTTTCCCCTGAAAGGGGCCAGCAAAGTCTACATGCAGGCGTGACCATGGTGCTCGGGTGGTCTCCCAGGACTGGACTGAGGCCCTTGGGGGATCTTGGTGGGATTCTTGGCAGGCCTGGCAGTGTTTGACCCAGGCCTCTATCTCTCCGTCGATCCCCGGCCACCACACATAACTCCTGGCAAGGGCCTGCTTTCTTACTACCCCTGGGTGTGTCTCGTGTAGGGCTGTGAGGACCCTTTTGCGGAGGGGCTGGGGAACAACGACCCTGCTTCCCCATAACAGGCACCCCTTGTGGGCCGACAGTTCCTGTTTGCGGGTTGTGTAGCCGGCGAATTCTGGCCCAGGGCTGCTGCTGGGCCATCCCCTCCACACCCAGTCCAGGACCCGGGAGATGACCCTATCTTTCTTGGAATGGTGTGCAACTTCTTGTGCCTGAATGGGGCGGTCGGGAAGCAGCTCCAGGCTCATAACCTCTTGTGCAGGTGCTGGGTCGGGGCCTGTTTCCGGTAGTGGTAGCCTGCTGAGAACGTCCGCATGGCCCATTGCCTTCCCCGGGCGGTGAATCAGTGCATACTGGTAGCTGGCAAGGAAAATTGACCACCTGAGGACGTGAGGAGACAGCACTTGGGGGTCTGCTTTCGGGGCAAACAAGCCAAGCAACGGCTTGTGGTCAGTCACCACGGTGAAGGGCCACCCATACAAGAAATCATGGAATTTTTTTACTCCCTTCACGATTGCCAGACCCTCCTTGTCTATTTGCGAGTAGTTCCGCTCGGTTGCGTTGAGTGTCTGGGAAAAGTATGCCACCGGTACCTCTCTTCCATCCGGGAGTTGGTGTCCCAGGACAGCGCCAATGCCATAGGGCGAGGCGTCGCATGCTAGCACCACCGGCAGCCTCTCGTCGAAGTGTGCCAAGACCGAGTTTGAGACAAGCAAGTCCTTGACTGCCTGGAATGCAGCCTCCTGGCGCTGGCCCCACACCCAAGGGGCCCGCTTGTCCAGGAGTCTGTGTAGGGGCTCTGCTACCGCCGCCTTGTGAGGAAGGAAGGAATGGTAAAGTTCAATAGTCCCAAGAAGGCCTGAAGTTCAGTCTTGCTCTTGGGCGCTGGGGCATCACAAATGGCCCGTACCTTGTCCCCAGTCGGGTGGACCCCTTCTGCGTCCACCATAAATCCCAGAAAGTCCACCTGAGGCACTCTTAGTAGACATTTTTCCTGCTTCACCTTGAGACCCGCCGTCTGGAAACGGTGCAGAACGGTGCGGAGGCAGTCCTCAAACTCCTCTGGTGTGGGCCCGGCAATCAACACATCATCGAAGAAGGGGGTGACACCAGGAATCCCTTTAAGTAGCGAGTCCATTAGATTCTGGAATATGCCTGGTGCCACACTGACACCCAATTGCAGCCGCTTTACCCTGAACGCTTCTCTGTGCGTCACAATCGTCTGTGCCTCTGCTGTGGCCTCATCTACTGGCAGCTGTTGATATGCTTGGGCCAAGTCCAGCTTGCCAAAAATTTTCGACCCAGCCAGGGTGGCAAGGACATGGCTGACCACTGGCACTGGGTATGCATGGGCCGTGAGGGCCTTGTTTATGGTACATTTGTAGTCTGCGCACATGCGGACCGAACCATTAGGTTTGACGGGTGTGACGATTGGGGTTTCCCAGGGGGCATTAGGCACCGGCTCCAGCACTCCTTGCTCCACGAGCCGGTCCAATTCCTCGTCTATACGGGGTTTCAGGGCGAACGGGACCCGGCGGGCCTTGAGCCTGACCGGTCATACTGCGGGGTCAAGCTGTAGAGCAATGGGGGGGCCCATATACTGTCCCAATTTCCCATTGAAAACCCCTGGAAATTCCTTGCATATGGCGCCCACGTCCACTTGTAAGCTAGGGTGGTTCACCCCGGTGACGGCTAGCCCCAGTGGTCCAAACCATGCCAATCCCAGTAAGCTAATGTAGGGGCCCTTGACCACAAGCAAGTCCAGTTGCCGCGTCCGCCCTCAGTATTGCACCCTGAAGGTCCCCACCCGCATTGTGGGGACCTTACGTTTCTGGAAGTCCCGGAGGGTGAATGGGGCCGGCCTGAGTTTGGGACCCCCAGTAGGACACAGTTTCCTTAAGGTCCTTGCTGAGATTATGGATAGAGTTGAACCCGTGTCAAGCTCCATGCGGCATGGGGCCCCCTCTATCTGTACCTCTACATAAATTTTCTCTACGTTGGGGTGGGGCAACTGATATACCTGGAAGTCCGTGAGCTCCGTCAAGTTGCCTTGGTGCGTTGGGCCCCGGGACCTGGGGCTCTTGGATTGGTCATCTGATGCCTGGCGTCGGGTGGGCCGAGCTCGACACACCCGGGCGATGTGTCCCAATTTTCTGCACTGCCTGCACTCTGCGGCAGGTCCTCCTCTCGTGACTTTCCCCGCAGCTTGCGCAGTTCCCTCCTTCTCGTCGAGGCAGCTGTGGTATGTGGGCTGCTTGAGTGCGCTGCTGTACTCGGTGCACCTCCTCCCTGTCGGATCCTGAGTCGTCGGTGAGGTCTTCGTGGTGGACTCTCGGTTGGGATGGCAGGCTCGGCCGTGCCTCTTGCATCGACCTCTCAGCAGCTTCCGTTGCCAGGGCCTCCTCCAGAGCGACCTGGAACGTTAGGTCCTTCTTAGCGTACAGGCGTCGTTGCAGCTTTTCATCCTTCAGGCCACTGACGAGGCGGTCACGAAGCATGTTCTCCAGCTCTGAGAAGTTGCAGAACTGGGCGGCTTGGCGGACAGAGGTCCCAAACCCAGTTATGGTTTCCCCAGGGGCTTGCCGCTTTGCGTAGAAGGCATTTCGACGAGCCACCACTGAGGGCTGCGGCGAAAAGTGCCCCTTCAGCTGTTCCATTATTGTTTTGTATGGAACAGTAGCAACGTCTTCAGGCGCAAGGAGAGCCCGGGCGATTTCAAACGTCTCCTCTCCGCAGACGCTGAAGAATATCGCCCTCTTCTTGGCGTCTTCTTCGTCGGTGACCCCTTTGGCTTCTAGGAGGAAGGTGAAACGGGAGGCATACGCTTCCCAGTCTCCAGATGCTGGGTTGAACGGTGAGAAGCTGCTGTCGGTTGCCATTCTGAGTTCCTTGTGTCCCGGAGCTGAAGCCTGGATACACGGTGCGAGGCAGCGGTGCGGCAGGTGGTGGTGCTGCGGTGCTATGTGTGGCAGTCAGCTCAGCGGGATCCCACCTTCGTCGCCAGTGAAATATACTCAGAGTCGCAAAGTGATTTCATGCTCTTTATTCAGCTCATAGTGGTGAGGAGGAATGAATGAATGTCCCCTCAAAGTATCTGCTTTATATACATTATTTACACAATGGGCTGCACATGATTGGCTAATTCTGGAATTCTACTGTAAGCCAATCAGGTTGTGGATTCACTTATATCTGGAGCATGATTGGGTGGTTCCTGCCAACCAATCATACTGCTGCATTTTGGATCCTATTGTTCTAGGACCAATCAGACTGCTGCAGTTTGGATCCTATTCAACTCAGTACATAACAGCAAGCGTAGTGATAAAGCGGGATATCAAATCCAAACTCTTCTTCTTCCTTCAAGCATCACAATATGGCAGGAATGGTTGTCATACTCGCTGTATCCTTTCAACAACTCCTGTGAGGTAGATTAAATTTAGGGCTGGTCACCCAGGGAATAGTGACATATACGCAAATGGGGCAAAACAGCATAGAAAAATGTGTTTGTTAGGAAAAATTCACACCAAAATGCTAATTAATGTTCAAGAGGACTTAAAAAACAAAAACCACAGATGTGGAAATGTGGAGAGCTTAATAGTGTAAAAATGGGAAACTGAGAGGAACTGAAATTGGCAGTCACTCGCCTTAACTTGGAAATGTCAATCAAGGCACTCTTGCAATCTGAAAAATATTCCGTGTGCAAATTGCAAAAGTGACAATCATAAAAAAATAAAAACCAGCTTCTCCTTGGTGGCCATTCTGAACTCCCTTCACTCTTGGCAGAGCACTTAAGATGGATCGTTTTATAGCTTGCCTTTTTTTGTACCGCTCATCAAATAGCACGCTAATAAGCGTCATATCTTCTTTTCTGAAGAGCCTCAAAGCAAATATTTCAAAGGCAGGAAGAAGGGAATACCTGAAGCTGTATAATTATAGAGCTGGAGCTGTGTAGTGAAGAGTATTTAGACAAATGATACCGATGAATTATCAGGCAAGAGAAAGCTGGCTTGATAAAACCGTATTTAGGACACTAATCCCGAGTGTTTGCTTGGCATTTTCGAACCTTTTAAAATGACAGGTTGTGATCAGCAGCTTCCCTTAGAGGCTGGCAAGTTTCCTGCGCTAGCATTTAACGTCTGTTTGATGTTCTTGACTTTCGTGTCAAATGTACAAGCTACTGTAAAGATGTTGAGAACTCGAGATATATAGCTGCGATTAAAACAATTAATCCATCTGGTTATAATTAAAGGCCCAAGTTAATTGCAATGACAACTGTATATAACTAAGCGAGTTCTCATCTTTGAAAGGAGCTATGTACTGTCAACATTGTTTCTAATGGGTGATGGGCTAATACCGTACAACCCTTACATGACAGGAAATTAATTGCCATTTGTTGATAATTAAAGCTCGCTTCAAAAAATTAAAAAAAGACTGAGAAAAATGAAGACTAAGAGAGGCCTTCTTTCCTCTCGCATCTCCACCAGATTTTTAGAACTTCTGAATCTAATTTTCCTAATGTCTAACCATGTCCATTGTGTAATTGATCCTTTCTGTAGCACATTTTCATGTTCAAAACAAGGGTGGAATTGGTAATATGGTGCCTTGAGCTAGGCCAAAATTTGATGCCCCACCCCCTGCCTTCAAACCGGGCTTTGGGAAGAAGGTGTGAGGAGTCTTAGAGCCTTCCCATTTCCTCACAAACCTGGGAAAGAGTTGACTAGGCTTTGGGAAGTGGGGGACGACGACTCTAGGACCCTTTCAGAGCCTTCACGCCTCCTTCCCATAGCCAAGTGTTATGTACTGAGTTGAATAGGATCCAAAAGGCAGCAGTCTGATTGGTCCTAGAACAATAGGATCCAGAATGCAGCAGCCTGATTGGTCCTAGAACAATAGGATCCAGAATGCAGCAGCCTGATTGGTCCTAGAACAATAGGATCCAGAATGCAGCAGCCTGATTGGTCCTAGAACAATAGGATCCAGAATGCAGCAGCCTGATTGGTCCTAGAACAATAGGATCCAGAATGCAGCAGTTTGATTGGTCCACAGGAGCCACCCAATCCAGCTCCAGGTGGAAGGGAATCCACAGCCTGATAAGGCAGACATTCTGGGGGAACTTCCATTCCTCCTCACCACTATGAGCTGAATAAAGAGCATGAAATCCACTCTCGACTCCAAGTATATTTCACCAGGCAAGTGCTTACCACTGCCTGCCGCCCCCCGGTTTGGTGGCAGTGGCGTAGCGTGGGGGTGCAGGGGGGCCGGCCGCACCAGGCGCAACGTCTGGGGGGGCGCGCTTGCACTCGCAGCTCTCTGCCCCTACTAAAATCTACGGGTTAGGGGGCGCAAATTACTTGCCTTGCCCCGGGTGCTGACAACCCACGCTACGCCACTGTTTGGTGGTCAGTGTGTGGGAACCAGTCACACTGCCCTAAAACCGCCTCTATTCAAAATGGCAAAGAGAGATATGTGAGTTTCTTTGCTGAAGGTTGTGATGAGCTTTGTAGCTAGGTGCAGTTTTGGATCTGGATCTCGATTTCTGCATGACTCCTTACTGGCCTATGGAAACAGTAGTCAGAATGCAGTACAGCTGTCAGGTCAATGACAGTTAGTTGAGATGAACTGATAGACTGTTAATAGCATTTAAATGTTCAGGTTTTACAAGTACAGTGGTACCTCGGGTTACATACGCTTCAGGTTACAGACTCTGCTAACCCAGAAATAGTACCTCAGTTTAAGAACTTTGCTTTAGGATGAGAACAGAAATCGTGCTCTGGTGGCGCAGTGGCAGCAGAAGCTAAAGTGGTGCTTCAGGTTAAGAACAGTTTCAGGTTAAGAACGGACCTCCAGAACGAATTAAGTACTTAACCTGAGGTACCACTGTAATCTTTGGCTTTGCATATGTGCCTGTGTGCGCACACAGAGAGAGAGATAGCTCCTCATTAACTTGTCCTGTTTGTCTTAATATGCTTGTTTACAAAGACCAAAGTAGACTCCTGTGACCTGACATCAAAATACTGTCATTAAGGCATAATCTTATGCTGACACTTATCATGAGTTTTGCTGCCTCATCCAGCCATTTGTTTGAGTTGTTTGGCCTTTTCGCTCAGTAATTAGCCACAGGAATTCTTCTGCTGAAAGCTAGATAAAATACCATAAACACAGAGGGACTGTTAGAATGCAATCCTGGCCTTTCAAACAGATTACATTTTATGGACTTCACTTTTTGTATTGAAATTAATGATTAATGCAATTGTCCCTAGCAGCCCCTCTAACTCCGAAATACCGTGGTACCTCAGGTTAAGTACTTAATTCGTTCCGGAGGTCCGTACTTAACCTGAAACTGTTCTTAACCTGAAGCACCACTTTAGCTAATGGGGCCTCCTGCTGCCGCTGCAGCGCCGGACCACGATTTCTGTTATCATCCTGAAGCAAAGTTCTTAACCTGAAGCACTATTTCTGGGTTAGCACAGTCTGTAACCTGAAGCGTATGTAGCCTGAGGTACCACTGTAGCTGCTTTGGGGGAACACCTCCAGCCCAAGATCCATATCTAGGGAACTCCTGCACAATGTGTAAACACCACCAAGCAGATTATTGATGACTGACAGAACTGATAGCGTTGACCACATCTTTGTAGGAGTAATAGTAAAGCCCTGTCAGTAAACAATCTTCAGCTCTATTTATGGTTCCCTGGATTGGGGTCAATCTATTTTCAACCCCTGAAAAGCTAAGGCAAAAGAATTCTTTTCCTTTGCAGTCATTTACTGCCATAACGAAGCAGACAAGATCTCAGGGGCTTCTGAGAAAAGATAAGATGATAAACCTTTTTATAAAAAAAGTGATAAACCTAAGCTGATAGAGAGGTGCACTCTAAGGTTTTGCAAGATGCAGATGGCCAATTCTGAGTAGACTAGATCAAGAAAGACTTTAAATTACCATTCAGCATTGAAACAGAAGAAGAGGAAGAAGAGGAACCCCCAGTTAGGGGGTTCATCTGGTGGAGAGACCACTTGTAGTAGCTTCTACCTGCCCACAGTTTCACCAGGTGCAGTGGCACCTCCATAGTGACCAACTCTCCACCCACCTGAGCAGAGTTGGAGTGATACTGAAATATACTCGGAGTCAAGAGTGGATTTCATGCTCTTTATTCAGCTCATAGTGGCGAGGAGGAATGGAAGTTCCCCCACAATATCTGCTTTATATACATTATTTACACAATAGGCTGCACATGATTGGCTAACTCTGGGATTCTCCTGTAGGCCAATCAGGTTGTGGATTCACTTCCACCTGGAGCTGGATTGGGTGGCTCCTGCGGACCAATCATACTGCTGCATTGTTCTAGAACCAATCAGACTGCTGCATTTTGTATCCTATTCAACTCAGTACATAACAGATACCTTCACTGCTTCCTGAGCCATGGGAAGTCAGGGATTAAGACCACTCTGTTTTGAGTGGTTTGCATCCAATACAGCAGGGCTGTCCAATAGGTCGGTCGTGATCTACTGGTCAACAACTTTGTCTCCCTAAAAAAAGCGCTCAACAACTTTGGTAGATCACTGCCAGTTTTTTTTATAGTGGGAGTAAATCGCAGTTTCTTGGAAGTTGGACATGCCTACAATACAGAAACTGAGACATGCCGCCCTTTCTGTCTTCTCCTGTAGCTACCATGCACCCAGTGTGACTGGGCCATTAGAATCCATGTCAACATGTCGAGATGTTAGCTGAGTCAATGTTGAGGATCTAGAATAAATTGAATACTCAAATATTGCGCGGGGGAGGGGTTGTGTGAGTGTTTTTAAGAATTTCTTTCAAGATGGACAGCTTAAACCATTTAGGGGAACATTTTTTCCACAGGTTTTAGCTGCTTAAAAATAGAACGAAAAACATAGATGCCTTTTAAGTGTTCCCAGGCCCCCTTGAGTCGAGATGTTTTACATTTCATGTGGGGAGAAAATAGGCACAGCTCGAATGTAATGATATTCAGCCTTTTCTCATACTCCACTATGCTAAAGTAGTTGAGGTTGACCTGCGAGAAGCCAACAACTTAGGTGCTGGAGGCTTAAATAAAAGGTTTAAGGAAGACTTTGTTCATATAATAAATTTCAGCCCACCTTTTATAGCTTCTCCCTCACTCCCACCGCCGCTCCCACCCACCCTTTCTGCCGGCCCAGACAAGATCCCTGCTCAGCACAGTTCTATAACTATTTGCTACCAAGCTGCACTGGAAGGAGTCAATTAAGTGCTATTTTAAACAGTCTTATATAGTTAATATTCCTATGTTCAATGCGTGTGTGTTTTTCTTGTAACTCAGAAGACCACCTCTCTTCTTTGCCTATTTTAATAAATTCAGCATGCTGTGTGAAGCTTTTGCCAACAAAAGCATTGCCCCTCTCTTTCATAAGAAGGGGAGAATGATTCCCATCAAAGGCCACAAACGACTGCCATGGCAGAGAAGGAAGGCAACCTTCCCAAAGCTGGTGAAGTGAGGGATTATAAGCCTTAAACACTGTTTTCCGAAATAGCCCCAAACCCCTCCATTTCTGCTTCTGTAGGAACTATCAGTGTCAGTGTTAAGTGTGAATCAACTCCTTCTAATCAGGCTCTGAAAATCAAAACAAACACCTGAAAGGATGTGCGTAGATTTTCCAAGGATTGCTGCAAGACGCACACCCATCATGCCCATCTTTCATGCCTTTCCTTGGAAACAAGTCATGGATGGGACCAGGTGAACTTATTTGCAGGTCATTGGGTGGCATTCAACGAATGCATCCTGCCAATGCAAGGATTTCCACTTGTGTCAACAGGATTTTTCCCTCCCTGTGGCATGTGCTCCATACCCTCCCCAAATCTGCTTCAGAGAGTGGTAAAAGGTAAAGGTAAAGGGACTCCTGACCATTAGGTCCAGTTGTGACCGACTCTGGGGTCGCAGCACTCATCTCGCTTTATTGGCCGAGGAAGCCGGTGTACAGCTTCCGGGTCATGTGGCCAGCATGACTAAGCCGCTTCTGGCAAACCAGAGCAGCGCATGGAAACGCCGTTTACCTTCCCGCCGGAGCGGTACCTATTTATCTACTTGCACTGATGTGCTTTCGAACTGCTAGGTTGGCAGGAGCAGGGACTGAGCAACGGGAGCTCACCCCGTTGCAGGGATTCGAACCACCGACCTTCTGATCGGCAAGCCCTAGGCTCTGTGGTCCCTTCAGAGTGGGGGGACCCCCATAATAGTTTTAGGGGGAACGTAGAGGGAAGAGAGGAGGGAGTCCCATTATGCAACTGGAATTGCTTGTGCTGATGGGAGCCTTGCTGAGCGCCATGTTGGATACAATCCAATGTGCTTAGGTTTAGGGATGAGAGGGCTAGTATGGGGGAATGGTTAAAATGTCGGATTATGATGGAAAGCTGGCTATAAATACATGCTTGTCTGCAAAGCTCATTGAGTTGACCTTGGGGCAGCCACTTGCACCCAGGGTGGTTCCCCTTGGTCCTTCAGATATTGCTGGACCATGACCCATCATCCCTGGCCATTGGCCATTGCTGGCTGTGGCAGATCACCTCTGAAGGCCAGCAAGTTGACTTAGGCGTTCTTTCATCACCTATACCAAAAAGAGAGTTCAGAATCATCTGCCCCAGCAGTGCAACATGGCAGTGAAGACCACAGCCAGTCTGGAGGAAAAAGGAGATCACAGAACTCTTGCTGTTCTTCACACACCAATGACTATTACTCAGAAGCAGAAAATGGGGCAGGGAAATGTCCTCTGAAGTCTGTTTCAACTATTGTTAAGAGACAGCGCAGAGCTTCAGAGCTGAAGTCAATTTGTTTCCCACTTCTTTCATCTCCTCCCTCAGCTTCTCTCTCTCAGCCTGAGGAGGATGGCTCGTCCAACAATCTTTCAACATCCCTTGTCAACAAGATAGGCCTGCAGCGTATATGCTCAGTATGAAGCCTACTGAAGAAATTCTAAGGGAAATTAACCAGTAGCCTAGCAACCTTGTGTTTGACTCTTTTTAAAAATGAAAATAACATCAGAGGAAGTGACTATACAAAGAAGAGGTCTGATGTGTGGGCTGCCTAATAGGAGGAAGATATTCATGAATATTTGCGGATAGGGGGCAGAATTATTCATACCAATGCACGAGCCAGTTCTTCAGCTGGTAGAATTCAGCCTTGCAGATTACAGTGGTATCTTTCTGCCTATCACATTTGTTTTTCTTCAAAGACGTCTATGCAGCTCACAAAAAAATATTCATGACACCATCCTCAAAACCAGAGAAAACAAAAGAAAGCTTAGGGAACCCGCAAAGATTGCCAGATGATAATCAGGGCCACCAGTCCTGGTTTTTTTCTGCTCTGTGGTGAACTGGGTTTCCCCTCTTTACGCTCCTCGAAGAGCACACAAATACTTTTCTTGAAACCCATTGTTAATCTCTCCTCTTCCTCTTTGAGTCAGGCTGTCCATCTTTCTCTCAAGTGCCCAGCTATTTACCTTGCGTAAACATTTGTTTGGCATCTTTTAAACAGGCACATTTGGTTTTTGTTACATTTGGAAAATTGTTCTTGGGAAAGGGAACAGTGGCTTTATGACTGTTACGAGGCTCGGCCATTTTGCCACACCTGGATTAAAATGGAGTAGCCTCATATAATTGGTTTGCTGGTCAGATCTGGCCAGTAGACCAACCATTGGCTTACTGAATGGCAGTACCATTTCTGACTGGAAGCCCAACTGAAATACACCCCCTTAAATCTGTGGTGCTCTCTGGAGCAGATTACCACAAGCATGTAGGATTTAGAGACCAACACATCTCAGTTTTCTGGAAAGGTTACAGAGCCATTCCATTGTAAGTGTTTTGTTATGATTTTCTGAGATCTGAGGGTGAATGAGGAGTTGAAGAATGTATGGAGTTGAAGAATGTGTATGGCCAAAGCATGGCTATTGGGTAGTATACTATAAATGCCCAGTGAGGAAGGTGCAAGTATTTGGGGCTGTAAATCATATGTGTAAATCTAGGAAATTTGGTCATTTTATTCTGTAGGTGCACATAACTAGTGTTTGCATTGAAGGCTCTTTCAATGTTGGGGCATGATTTGCAGGGATGTGCAAGCCCTATACTTTGAACATTAGTGATATGTGCAAATATAAAAAACCCAACTCTCACTTTCTGTATTTGTGCATTGATTCCCCATCCAAAACCATTTTCACATGAAGAAGCCATGAGTTCACATCCGTACTCACCAATAGAATCTTTGAGTATCTTTGGGATTAGAGAGAAGAGGAGCTTTTCATTCTCTGTTTCTCACATTTAACATGGAGATGTTTATTTTATTTATTTGTTTTATTCTATTTCTTATCTGCCCTTTACCGGTAAAGACCCAGAGCAGGTTACAACAATACAAAATACAATTACAAAACAAAACTGGTTCAACCCTAATACAAGAAAAGTGTAAAAGCATTTCCATTCATAAACAAATCTTTTTTATATACGGTAATAACTTTTATTAGTTTTCAATTACAATCCAATAATAGTCTCATTATAACAATACCAATTTATAATACAATTATTAATACCAATAGTTCAAATACCAAATTATAAAATTTAGATAAGGTGCCCCCCTATATGCTAGAATTGATGGCTTGAGTATTTGCTTTCTTTCTGCGTTCCAAAATCTTATTCATTTCCATTACATTCCAGTCATCATCATAATTCCTTATACAACAACTGCAATATTAATAACTTCTATTTGTGTTGACACATTAAATGATTTATAAAACTACAAGTTTATCTTTGTTCTTCCTATGTGTGGCAATTATTCTGTCTGTGGTGTTTCTTCCTGTCCTTGTAAGATGTTATGTCTTTCTTTCCCCCGGTTGTTGCTGTTATCCATCATGCCTTGGGCAAAGCTGATATCCCATTGTTGTTTCAGAAATTTCTCCATTCCTCTGTCCCAGGCTTTGTTGTTTCGCAACTTTAACAACAGCTGCAAAAATCACTCTGTCCCAATATTCATAAACAAATCCTCATCTAAAAACAACGAAAGCAGTTAAAAATAGTTCCAGCAGAGATGCAGATACTGATGACCGACCTAAAAACATAAGAAGAGCCTACTGGATCAGGCCAATGGCTTGTCTGGTCATGTAACCTATTCTCATAGTAGCCAACCAGATGCATGGGGAGAAAACCACAAGCAGAATTCAAGCACAAGAACCCTCTGCCCTCCTGCCATTTCCAGCAACTGGTATTCAGACGCATTGCTCCCTCAAACTGTGACAGCAGATCCTAGGCATCGTGGCTAGTAGCCTTCAAGAGCCCTCTCCTCCATGAATTTGTCTAATCCTCTTTGAAAGCCATCTAGATTTGTGACCATCACGGCCTCCTCTAGGCATAAGTTCCATGGCTGAACTGTGTGAACAAGTCCTTTCCTTTTTCTGTCCTTTTATATGAGTTGTTACACATATGAAAAAGGACTGTCAATAACGTGGTCACCTGAGAAGAAACGCATCATCAAGACAGAGGGCCAAAGAGGGCATAGATTTGCATGCAATTTGCATGTGCCAACATTTGATGCCGATTTTGAAATGGACAGCTGTCCAGGGCAGCTGTCTTCCAGCTCAGTCTGGTACACAGGCTGAGACCCTGTCTGCCCGCAGACTGTCTCACCAGAGAGATGCATGCTCTGGTTATCTCCTGCTTGGACTACTGCAATGCGCTCTAAGTGGGGCTACCTTTGAAGGTGACCCGGAAACTACAACTAATCCAAAATGTGGCAGCTAGACTGGTGACTGGGAGTAGCCGCCGGGACCATATAACACCAGTCCTAAAGGATATACATTGGCTTCCAGCATGTTTCTGAGCACAATTCAAAGTGCTGGCGTTGACCTTAAAGCCCTAAATGGCCTTGGCCTTGTATACCCGAAGGAGCATCTCCATCCTCATCGTTCAGCTGAGGTCCAGCTCCAAAGGCCTTCTGGTGGTTCCCTCACTGCAAGCCACAGGGAACCAGGCAGAGGGCCTCCTTGGTAGTGGTGCTCGCCCTGTGGAACGCCCTCCCATTAATGACATCAATAATAATTTCAGTCTCATTAATCCAGTTGGGGCCGATGGCCATGGTCATTTGTCATTTGATGAAATCTGTTCTTGGGCTTAAGCTCAGCATTCAACTATAGACAAAGATCAGCTGCCTCCCACTCTGCTTGCTGAGGAATTCACTGATGGGTGCATGACCCTTCCCTCATCCGACCTGTCAACACCAGGTAACTTGCCACTGTTCCTCCTTTGCAGTTTCTAGTTCTAAATGGGGGGCAAACAGGAATTGAACTTTCGCTCTCAAGAGCACCTGCCTTTGCTATCTCTGGGGGCCGAGGGAGCAACTTCAGACAGTATCAGGCCATGCCATGTCCCGACACTTGACTCACAAAGTGGCACTGGTGTTTGCTCACATCCAGATGTAGATAGTGGCTGTCAGCAGGGAGAGATGCAGGGATGGGAATGGAACAGAAAAAGGGGTGCTCTCTGCTTGCGGGGGGGATGTTGCTCTGTGCTAAAGCAGTTGCATTGTGTGTGGAACACCCCAAGTTCAATCTGTGACTTTTGCCGCTAGGCTGGGAATTTCTTCTGCTAGGATCCATAGGGAAGTGAGAGCTGGACCATAAAGAAGGCTGATCGCCAAAGAATTGATGCTTTTGAATTATGGTGCTGGAGGAGACTCTTGAGAGTCCCATGGACTGCAAGAAGATCAAACGCATCCATTCTTAAGGAAATTAGCCCTGAGTGCTCACTGGAAGGACAGATCCTGAAGCTGAGGCTCCAATACTGTGGCCACCTCATGAGAAGAGAAGACTCCCTGGAAAAGACCCTGATGTTGGGGAAGATGGAGGGCACAAGGAGAAGGGGACGACAGAGGACGAGATGGTGGGACAGTGTTCTCGAAGCTACCAACATGAATTTGACCAAACTGCGGGAGGCAGTGGAAGACAGGAGTGCCTGGCATGCTCTGGTCCGACCTAGAAGAGTCGGACACGACTAAACGACTAAACAACAACAACAAAGGATCCATAGAGAGCTGTTGCCAGTCACTGTGAACAATATTGAGCTAGATGGACCTGTGGTCTGAGTAGATATCTACTATGTTCCTTGAAAGCAGTGGTTCTCAAAGTGGGTGGTACCGCCCTCTGGTGGCCGGAGGGATGACGTAGAGGGGCGCTAAGGGGCAAGGGGACAGCAGAGGGCCCCTGGAAGTGTAAATGACTATCAGACTTTGCAAAGCTGGTCTCACTGGGCGATGTTCATAAGTTTTGTTGAATTACCATATTTTTTGCTCTATAAGACTCACTTTTTCCCTCCTAAAAAGTAAGGGGAAATGTGTGTGCGTCTTATGGAGCGAATGCAGGCTTCACAGCTATCCCTGAAGCCAGAACAGCAAGAGGGATTGCTGCTTTAACTGCACAGCGATCCCTCTTTCTGTTCTGGCTTCTGAGATTCAGAATATTTTTTTCCTTGTATTCCTCCTCCAAAAACTAGGTGCGTCTTGTGGTCTGGTGCGTCTTATAGAGCGAAAAATATGGCAATTAAACAAACTAGTTTTAACTGGATTTTTTAAAAAAATAAATCTGCAATTGATTGTTACTGTTGTGAATTCTGTTGTGTTATTACCTTCCTATTCTGCATTATACAGAATACCTCCGCTATTCTGTATAATGCTTTTTATAGGATAGGGGGGCGCTGAGGATGAGCAAACATCTGAGACAGCAGGTGCGCATGCGCTGATGACTGCACATGCACAGATGACAGCTTTGTGAATAGGAGTTCCAGGGTGGCTGTAGGGGCAGGGAAACAAAAAAAGAAAACGTGTGCGTTTGGCGAAGACATCCCCGCCGCCTCTCTGATGCAAACATCGCAGTTCAAATGCGACTTGAAATCCAGCTGTGGAGGTGGGGGGGCGGGTGACATTGCTGCATTTTAAGCTGCTACTGTGAACATACCCTAATAATCTAGTAGTCGATGGCCCAATGGCTGGGCTGAGCACGAGGCAGCTTTGAGTGTTCAGTGATGTGCTCCCACATTCGCCCTTGTTCCTGAACTGGCTCTGCACCCTGACCTAGAAAGAGGGAAGAGCAGCTCCGGGGAGAGGTCAGAGAGTTGTGGTGAAAGCACCTGCTAGCAGAGAGAGAGAGAGAGAGAGAGAGAGAGAGAGAGAGAGAGAGTTCAGCTTCCCCAAGAAGCATCCAAAACTGTAGAGGCATTTAGTGGCTGCTCTTTTATCAGTGCAGCTGCAAGTGGCAATTCTGCCTTCTGACTGGCCTGTGCCTTTGTTCCTTCGGAGCTGAAAATGCCCCCCAAATCCTTTCTTTGTACCAGGATTATATGCTTGAAAAGAACTGAACAAATTGCATTTAGAGTGATCCAAATGGTCCATTTCCCTTATTGTGCTGTTTTAAAAGCTGGGAGGGGGAGAGGAGTGGGGGGAGAAAGGACTGACAGTGCTTAGGAATCGGAGCATAGTTGGCAACTAATGGCATTAATGCCTGATAGAAAGATTGAATCAGCTTTAATTATCACATGCAATTACGAGAGCAGATTTCTCCCAAAGACAAGGGCCCGCTTTCCCACAACCATAGGCATCCCCTCAGCCTTCGTGCGTTTTCCTTCGAGAATCATCTCACGTGCCTTGAGATGCACATTAAATTTTGTTAATCTCATTAACAGCCCCTCCTAGCAGTTTTTTCCTCTAGGGTTTTCTAATCTACCTGCTCTGCAAAGAACATAAGAATTGTCCTGCTGGGGTATTGAAATCAATGGGGTTTGGTGTGCCTGAGTCTGTATATGGTTGGGGCTCCTAGGCCATACTCACACCATATATTTAAAGCACTGTGATACCACTTTAAACAGTCACAGCTTTCCCCCAAAGAATTCTAGAGCTCTGGTTTGTAAAGAGTGTTGTGAGATCCCTATTCCCATCTGGGAGCTATAATTCCCGAGTATAATCATAGAATTGTAGACTTGGAAGTGACCCCAGATGTCATCTGGTCCAACCCCCACAATGCAGGAATCCTGCCCATACCTGTCCCTGGGAGGGCTCGAACCGCCAACCTTCTGGTTAACAGCCAAACACACTGACGCACTGAGCCACAGAGGTATAGTTTAACAATGAATCTCTTCCCTAAGAACTCTGGGAACAGCAGCTCTGTTAAATGAATAAAGGTAAAGAGACCCCTGACCATTAGGTCCAGTCGTGACCGACTCTGGGGTTGCGGTGCTCATCTCGCTTTATTGGCCGAGGGAGCCGGCGTACAGCTTCCGGGTCATGTGGCCAGCATGACTAAGCCGCTTCTGGAGAACCAGAGCAGCGCACGGAAACGCCGTTTACCTTCCCGCCGGAGCGTTACCTATTTATCTACTTGCACTTTGACGTGCTTTCGAACTGCTAGGTGGGCAGGAGCAGGGACCGAGCAACGGGAGCTCACCCCGTCGCAGGGATTCGAACTACCAACCTTCCGATCGGCAAGTCCTAGGCTCTGTGGTTTAACCCACAGCGCCACCCTAGGTTAAAGGAATAAGGGTCGCTTAATAATTCTTAACCGGCTACATTTCTCTGGACTCACTGGGAGAAGCCACAGCTGCTTGAAGTGGTACAATAGTGTTTTAAATGAATTGTGTGAAAAGGTGGCTGTAGATCGCATTCCCCGTCTACCCAGAATAAAGCTAGCCTTAATTACAGCCAGTGTTATGTTGGATAGATTGGAGCTGTAAAGACAACTTGTTTTAAAGGAACTTCTGAACTAGGCAGCTGTCTACTGGATAATTCAGATAAGCAGCGTTTTCCTGGGGGAGAAAACATTTTTCTTGTCAGGTTGCGTGTCGAGGTCCCCAAGCCACCCCCCAAATAACTCACAACGCACACTTAATTTTTGTTTAAGGTTTTTGGCATAATTTTGGCCACAACTTTATTTAAATACAAAACCGTGAGTGGTTGTTTAGGCATTGGTTAAGACTATCTGTCCCCCCGCCTGGGGACAGAACTGACTTCCGGGCACCACCGAAAGACAGTGAAGGGGAAAGCAAGTCGGAGAGAAATGGAGCTGGGTCACAGACCCTCAATTCTCATCCGCATGCTCCCCGAAGGCTTGCCGGCCCTAGTCCCATTCCAGGGATTGGACGAAAAGATGGCAAGCCCCAGGATTCCTTTAACGGAATTCCCTTCCGCAGCAACCATGGAGGGGCAGGCCCAGCCTATCCTAACCCCTCCTCCACCAATTTATAACCAATGCCTAACCACAACCTTACAAGTTGTGACGATTTGCTACGCAGTAGGCAAAAACCAAATGGCCCAGCCAATCAGCCAGATGGACAAAATTCCTACCAGGCCCCTGCCCCAACGGCAGACGACCCCATGACAGGCATAGCAAGGTCAATGCAACAACCCCTTACTCAAGGGCGGGTGGGCGGGTGATCCGGTGCACGCAGCAAAGAGAAAGCTCCAGGCTGCGTGCAGAGTATTTAAACATTTTACCCCTCCCACCAAAATTGCAACATAACTTTTACCCCAGCAACCCAGTGAACCAATCACTGCCCCAGGCCATCTTTAGAGACCCTGCCTGGTAACAGAGGGGTGGCTCAGCAGACCCCACCGCAACACGTGCTCTCCATGAAGGAGAACACGCTTTATCATACAACACACAACACCCCCACAGGATGCACCTACACACACACCCCAAACAGGAATTTCCCCCATTAGAAAAGTGGATATGAATCCGTTATGCTAACACAAGTGCAGGAGGTTATATGATCCTTGGAACTGCTGCAGCAAGTGGACAGTGACCCAGTAGGGACCCATACCTTACCCACTGAATAACGTGGAAGGGGACATGAAATGGCCAATGGGAAAGGCAGAACTTTGGTTTGGCAGATGACCTGCCATTTGCACATGGCCAAAAAGGAAGGCTGCCTGGCATCTACTTAGTCATGGAAACCTCTTTGAATTGTTCTGCTGGCACTGTTAAGGTCAAGGAGGCTTTCTGTCGCTGGCTGTTCTTTGAGGAACCATTTTTCTGAGAAGTGTTGTTGGGGGGAACAGTAAGCAGCGGACACATTCAATTATCAGAGTTTATTCCTTGTCATGAGAAGCAGTGTCCTGCTATTAAAAAACAACAACAACTTTGGTTGTGAGAAGGGATATTCTTACTAATTTTGCATTGAGACTACAACATACAGTCTGCATTTTAATGTTATATTTTAATCTTGTTTTTAGGTTGTATTTTAATCAATTGTTTTTTAATCTGGTGTTAGCCGCCTGAGCCCGGTCTTGGCTGGGGAGGACGGGGTATAAATAAATTCATTATTATTATTATTATTATTATTATTATTATTATTCCCTGAACCACTGCAAGGCTTGGAACCTCACCAGTAAGGCACTAGGACCCTAATTCTTGCACCGCCATAAGGACTATTTTGAAGTTTGGCCCTCACTTCTGGAGACATTTTTGGAGTGGGTGAGATGATAGCACTTTCAGCAAAAAGGGTGTGGTTTGGATCTTTATGAATGAAAGGGGAAATGGGCTGTGAGACATTGGTCACAACCAATGCACTCTTATAGAAGTCTGAGAGTCATGGCTTCCCCCAAAGAATCCAGGAAACTGTGGTTTGTTGAGAGGGTTTGGAATTGTAGCTCTATGTGGGATAAGCTACAGTTCCTCGGTGTCTTAGGGAATGTGCTTCCAATGAATGGCGCATATTCTGGAGTGTGCCTTGAGTATGCAATGAGGGGGGTCTTCTTCCTCACTCCTAACAGTCTGGACACACTTCAGTTGTCTCATAAGGCACAGCTGGATTGGCATATCCAAAAAACAACAACGCTAAAATAAGCACGGTCTTTTAAAAACTTGCACATTCTTCTTTTGTTTTTAATGATTTGGAGGCATCTAAAATTGACATACTCAACCTTTGCATTTCAGCCACAATCGCCTGGGCTATTATTTTTATGTGAACACTGAGATTCCTGCAAATGTTGGCTTTTAAAGAGCAGTAAAATAATGAGGCGCACACACAAAAAGCTGCCAGAGTTGGCAACCTTGCCATCAGCTATGTGAAGTGACTTCCAATGTGCCACTAAGTAGGTGCTGGCAAGCCTTTCTCTCTTAATAATCTGCACCATTGTCAAACATAAGCAATCAAAACCTGGATTCCAACCCTCTGCAAATTGAGCTCTGCGGCCTAATAAGGGGAATGGTATTTGGAGACCAGTTTTCGCTCTCCCTGTCGGCCTGATGGAAGCTAATTCTGTGGAACGGAAATGTCTCAGACCTTTGCAATATAGATGTGCTGTGTGACATAAGCAGGTCTGTCCAGTTGGTGACCCCTCAGTCAAACACAGCCCCCCCAACTGCCACTGAGGACTCGGTGACCCTGCTTTTTCCTGTCTGGCTGGGGTTGTGCAACAGGATAATTGTCAAGCACCTCAGAGGCCCCAATGACTGACTGTTGGCCTGTATTCAGCTTGAAGAATTACAAGTTACAGTGGTACCTCAGGTTAAGTACTTAATTTGTTCCAGAGGTCCGTTCTTAACCTGAAACTGTTCTTAACCTGAAGCACTTTAGCTAATGGGGCCTCCTGCTGTTGCCGCGCCGCCGGAGCACAGTTTCTGTTCTCATCCTGAAGCAAAGTTCTTAACCTGAAGCACTATTTCTGGGTTAGCGGAGTCTGTAACCTGAAGCATATGTAACCTGAAGCGTATGTAACCCGAGGTACCACTGTATTTAGAGCTGCCATATATGGATGGGACTGAACACAGGAAACATGGGTGTAAATTCTAGTTCAGCCATAGTCTGCCTTCGTGTCCAAGGGTAAGTCTCTGGCCCTGTTCAGCTAAGTGGAATGAAAGCTAACAGTTTGGACGAGGCAGGTGAGAAAATGAAGTAGGTCAAGAACATCAAGTTAGAACAGGGGTCAGCAAACTTTTTCAGCAGGGGGCCGGTCCACTGTCCCTCAGACCTTGTGGGGGCCCGGACAATATTGTTTTGGGGGAAATGAACGAATTCCCACAAATAACCCAGAGATGCATCTTAAATACAAGGACACAGCATTCTACGCAAGAGCACCAGGCAGGCCCCTCAAATAACCCAGAGATGCATTTTAAATAAAAGGACACATTCTACTCAGGTAAGCCGCCACCACCACCACCCAACTCTCCCCTCCCTTTTCCACAGCACCGGACGAGCCGCAGTGGCTGTTTACCTGTGTCTTGTGAGCAGCAGTGGCTGGTGGCAGCGGCACCATGATCAACTCCTGCCTGGAAACATTTGTCTCCACTGTGGAAGGACGTATGGATCCAGAATTGGCCTCCACGGTCACTTACGGACCCACTGTTAAAACCATGTTTATGGAAGAAGAAGAGGAGGAGGAGGAGGAGGAGTTTGGACTTGGCATCCCGCTTTATCACTACCCGAAGGTGTCTCAAAGCGGCTGACAATCTCCTTTCCCTTCCCCACAACAAACACTCTGTGAGGTGAGTGAGGCTGAGAGACTTCAGAGAAGTGTGACTAGCCCAAGATCACCCAGCAGCTGCATGTGGAGGAGCGGAGATGCGAACCCGGTTCACCAGATTACGAGTCCACCGCTTTTAACCACTACACCAAATGCGAAAGGGCTCCGGAGAAGGGCTGGCAGCAACAAAGCCCGAATTGATCCTGCTTACAATGGCAACTGCTTGAGTGCTCCCGCTGCTGCTGGCACCAACAAAGCCCAGTCCCTTTCCTCTCAGCTCTAGGCAGAGTGGGGAGAAGCCAGGAGGAGGCGCTGCTGAATCCGCATGCTGGCACAGCCCGAACAATCAGATCCATGACAATCCATATGGTGATTCCCAGACCGTCTGTAAAAAGGTAAAGGACCCCTGGACAGTTAAGTCCAGTCAAAGGCAACTATGGGGTTGCGACGCTCATCTCGCTTTCAGGCCGAGGGAGCCGGCGTTTGTCCACAGACACCTTTCTGTGTCATGTGGCCAGCATGACTAAACCGCTTCTGGCACAATGAAACACCATGAAGGAAACCAGAGTGCACGGAAACGCTGTTTAACTTCCTGCCACAGCGGTACCTATTTATTTACTTGCACTGGTGTGCTTTCGAACTGCTCGGTTGGCAGGAGCTGGGATAGAGCAACGGGAGCTCACCCCATCACAGGGATTCAAACCGCCAATCTTCTGATCGCCAAGCCCAAGAGGCTCAGTGTTTTAGACCACAGTGCCACCAGCATCCCTAGTTAGGAGGAGAACAGTTTAACCCTCAGCGACCTTGAAATAATCCATACAACCTGTGTCTTGTATACTTTTTGTCACATGCCTTTCCCCACCTTGATCTCATTCATTCATAGTTCTTTGTAGCAAAACAGAGACAGGTAAACAGGTGCCCTAGCTATGGTTTAGCTCTCTGGGATTTCCTGAACGAGATAAAGATGTGCATATGTCTTACTCTCTTACTTTCCTTAAAAATTCTCTGTAGAACATAGTGACGAATTCCACATGGGAAATTCCCAGTTAGGGGGAAATGCAGCTGGATCTGCATTGAGTACAGAATAGCTCCAATCACAGAACTGTAAAGTTGGAAGGGACCCTGAGAATCATCTATTCCAACTCCCTGCAGTGCAAGAATATGCAGCTGTCCCTGTCATGAAATTCTACTCAATATTGATCCAGAGTTGATTCCAATGTCTAGTTAGCAGAGTAACAACTTAAACACGTTGCAGGATTCCCAAAAAATAGAACAGAGGCAATTATATTTCATCTGGCAGAGCTTTACTGCAACCGAAGGCAAAAATGAGCATCATGGTCACAAATCCAGTACATTCAGGATTGGCACTGTCCATAAGAAACCCAGTTGCAGTAGACATAACTTAAACTTACAATAACTTATAGTAAGTCTAAACTTTAACACTAAGCAGATTATGTACGGAACACCACGCCAGAAGGAAAAGAGAAGAGAAAGTGAAACTCGGGCTCCTTCTGACCTTACTTTTAAAGTCAGCATGACCTTTTTGACTGAAAGAGAGAAGAGAACCAGTTTAAACCAGCTGTACTCAGCTTCTCTGAAGGAATAACCCAAACATCATGAACCTTCTGCTTGTTTCACAAAGACAAGCTTTCAAAACCCTCTTGAATTAATTAGAATAGGAAGGATCTCTACACATCATACTTGGTACTTTCTGTACCAAGAAATGCAAACTGACAGTCCCATATGGAGATCAAACTTGCAACCTTGGCATTATCATCAGCACCATGCTCTTACCAACGGAGCTATCCAGGTGTACATACAGATCCTTTTTTACAAAAAAAAGAAGAAGAAATGTGGGGCAGGATGGAGAAGTTGAAGATACAACCAGCTGAGAATGGGCTTCATTTGTCTCTTTTTATGAGGATTGGGGATACAAACAAAAACAGAAGCATTTGTATCTCTCCTGAGATATGGAGTGTTGTAAATTGGGGTGACATAGGAGCCTATGGATTGCTTTTTAAAGCTTGTCAAACTCTCTGAATTGCCTTTCTTCCAGCACCCAAAATATACTTACCATACAGTGGTACCTCAGGTTAAGTACTTAATTCGTTCTGGAGGTCCGTTCTTAATCTAAAACTGTTCTTAACCTGAAGCACCACTTTAACTCATGGGGCCTCCCGCTGACGCCGCCCGATTCCTGTTCTCATCCTGAAGCAAAGTTCTTAACCCAAGGTACTATTTCTGGCTTAGCGGAGTCTGTAACCTGAAGCATCTGTAACCCGAGGTACCACTGTATTTATCTTATTCATAGCCATGCGGCGGTCACCTCCAGGCTTGACTACTGTAATTCGCTCTACGCGGGGCTGCCCTTGAAGCTGTCCCAGAAACTCCAGCGGGTGCAGAATGCTGCAGTGAGGCTCCTCATGGGGTCTCTGCCATGGGAGCATATTCACCCAGTGCTTTTCCATTTGCACTGGCTCCCAGTGGAGTACAAGGTCAGATTTAAGGTGCTGGTTTTGACCTTTAAAGCCCTTTACGGCCTAGGAGCCTCGTACCTATGGGACCGCCTCTCCCGGTATGCCTCACAGAGAGCCTCAAGGTCCATAAATAGCAACACCCTAGTGGTCCCGGGCCCTGAGTCAGGGCCTTCTCTGCACTGGCTCCAGCCTGGTGGAACGCTCTGTCTCATGAGACCAGGGCCCTGCAGGATCTGATTTCTTTCTGCAGGGCCTGTAAGTCAGAGTTGTTCCACCTGGCCTTTGGCTTGGAGCCAATTTGATTCCCTCCCCCTCTTTCTTTTTCCTTTTTCCTGCTGTGATGAGGCTGCATTTTAATGTTTTAATGTTGTATTTTAATCTTGTTTTTAAGTTGTATTCATTCAACTTGTTTTTATTATTGCTTGTTAGCCGCCCTGAGCCCAGCTTTGGCTGGGGAGGGCAGAGTATAAATAAAATGTATTATTATTATTATGGTATCAAATCAAGGTATCTGATTCAATTTACACCTTAAATATTTTCTCTGCTAGAAAGAGGAAAATTCAGATGTGCGATTGCAGGGCATCAGCAAGTCTGGATTTAGGGTGCTGAGCCGAGAGGGTGCAAAATTGAGAAGATCCATAACTGAGAAGATTTGGGGCTCACTCAGGGCACCAGATTACCAAAGATTACCAAAGTCTACCCTTGACGTCAGATGTAGCAGTTAAGTTTGCCTCGAACTTACTGCTAAAAAATATTGGGCTTTTCTCGCAGTAGAAAAGAAATGGGCTCTCAGTGAAACAAGCACAGCAATTCTATGCCAGGCTAAAGAGGGATAGTAAAATTATCCCAGATATTTATTGAAATGTCACTTTATCAAGAAACCAAAGGTCCAGTTCTATGGGCTGTGTTTTGGATTAATAAAGTTGCAATCATATACTGTATGGAGTAAAAGCCTAACTAAAAATAGGTAGGATCTAGCTTCACACAAGGGACGCGGGTGGCGCTGTGGGTTAAACCACAGAGCCTAGGACTTGCCGATCAGAAGGTCAGCGGTTCGAATCCCCGCGAAGGGATGAGCTCCCATTGCTCAGTCCCTGCTCCTGCCCACCTAGCAATTCGAAATCACGTCAAAGTGCAAGTAGATAAATAGGTACCGCTCCGGCGGGAAGGTAAACGGCGTTTTCGTGCGCTGCTCTGGTTCGCCAGAAGCGGCTTAGTCATGCTGGCCACATGACCCGGAAGCTGTACACTGACTCCCTCGGCCAATAAAGCGAGATGAGCGCCGCAACCCCAGAGTCGGCCACGACTGGACGTAATGGTCAGGGGTCCCTTTACCTTTTTAGCTCCACACAGAGTTGGCTAGATTCAAAGTCAGGAGCCCTTGGTGTAACAACAGAGACCCTAGGTGTATGTTTTTAATTTTAATCATGCTTCAGTATTAATTCAATATCAATTGCATTTAACCTTTGGATAGAATGCATCCATACCATACCCTGAGGCAGCATTCTAGGTGCACTGTTTTCTTTCTCAGTAGTGGCCACTGTTGCCAGATATGGTACAGAGGCGATTCATAGCCATTAAAAGAGGCCAAAAGGAGTTAGGTGTCATGGGCCAGAAGTCGGCTTCACCTGCTGAGCAGCAGCCTGAAGGAGCTGAAGGTGAAGTGACTCCACCTGATGCTGATCAGCCTTCTTGCTCCTGATGAGAACCAGCTGGCTCCAGCTTTCTTAAGCAGAGTTTCCAGCCTCAATCAGTTGCTGGAAACAACATTCGTTGTTCCTGAGCAGACCTTGCTGCTTCTTGTGACCCTGGACCTTCAGCTTTCTTGACCCCCGGATGGTCTGACTACGTGAACCGAGATACTCCTGACCTTAGGACTGGACTGGACCGGACCTTGTATTCAGACTCTGCTTCCAGGCAAGTACCTCCCTGACACTCGGCTGGTTGGCTGGCTTCTCCCTCCACTGAGCTCTGCCATGGTTGGCACCACCACCAGTGCAATTCTTCACACCATTTCAATTGTAGCAAGCATTGTAAGATGCCTGGCATCTTACAGGAAGACACTGCATGCACATTGGCACAAGTCTTTTTCTGCGCCACTGCAATGCTGAATATGTATAGACCAGGCATCCCCAACCTGTGGCCTTCTAGATCTTTTGGCCTACAACTCCCATGATCCTTAGCTAACAGGACAAGTGGTCAGGGATGATGGGAATTGTAGGCCAAAACATCTGGAGGGCCGAAGGTTGGGGATGCCTGGTATAGACTCTGTTGTAAAGGTAAAGGGTAAAGGGACCCCTGACCATTAGGTCCAGTCATGACCAACTCTGGAGTTGAGGTGCTCATCTCGCTTTATTGGCCGAGGGAGCCAACATACAGCTTCCAGGTCATGTGGCCAGCATGACTAAGCCGCTTCTGGTGAACCAGAGCAGCGCACGGAAATGCCGTTTACCTTCCCGCTGGAGCGGTACCTATTTATCTACTTGCACTTTGACGTGCTTTTGAACTGCTAGGTTGGCAGGAGCAGGGACCGAGCAACGGGAGCTCACCCCGTTGCGGGGATTCGAACCGCCGACCTTCTGATCGGCAAGTCCTAGGCTCTGTGGTTTAACCCACAGTGCCACCCGCTATTGTTGCTGGACTACAACCCCCATCTGACCTGATCATTGGACATGTTGGTAGCAGCTGGTGAGAGCTGTAGTCCAACAACACATGGAGGCTGCCATCTTGGTTACCTTCACTCTATCGTAACCTTGGTTACCTTCACTCTATCCACATTCCAGCAGCTCCCATGTGTAGGAGAGAACCCTCCATCTCCAGAGGTGTCATGAGTGGCAGCCAGGCAAATAGAACTTTTTGGAACACCTTGCCAAAATAGGTTGAGCTGCTTACCCCGCCCTGTCCTACTTGTATTTAGGGAAGTTTTTATGAACTTTTTTTTTTCTAGAGCCAGGTTTTTTCTTTGTTTGTTTTTTAAAAAACACACTGTGCTGTTTTATCTTGCTAGTCTTTTCTGGTTTAAATACAGTGGTACCTCGGGTTAAGAACTTAATTCGTTCTGGAGGTACGTTCTTAACCTGAAACTGTTCTTAACCTGAGGTACCACTTTACCTAATGGGGACTCCCGCTGCTGCCAGACTGCTGCTGCGTGATCTCTGTTCTCATCCTGAAGCAAAGTTATTAACCTGAGGTACTATTTCTGGGTTAGCGGAATCTGTAAGCTGAAGCGTCTGTAACCTGAGGTACCACTGTGTTCCAGTTTATTATTTTGTACGTATTCAATCCTATTTTAAGCCGCTTTGAGGAGACCAGTTATAAATGCAATCACTCGGTGAACTGGTTTACTTTAACGGAACGATTCTGGTGCAAATGTGGAGTGGATGGCAGCCTAATACACTTTTCTGTTTCTGAAATTCCTTCCTATGACGCTAGGAATCCTATAAATGCCTTGCTCCCTGGTGGCCCGTTTTTGCGTAGAATATATTTAACGTTTGCAAAGATGTGATTAGGAATGAGCAAACTGACTTGCGCATATTTCTGGAATAGTTGGAAACAGCCCTGGCCCTGTTTGTGGAAAGGCAGATGCTTGCATAGTGGGCAAAGCACATCGGTACTGATTATAGCAGCAAAACAAATGTGAGTCTGCAGTGCCACCTGTTGCTTCAGTTAGGATCATCGCACGTAATAGCAGCAGCCGGAATCACATTTGCTTGGAAGTCAAGGCCAGTATATGTCCCTTGGGGGCTAGGCTGGGATGCGGGTGGTGCTGTGGTCTAAACCAATGAGTCTCTTGGGCTTGCCGATCAGAAAGTTGGCGGTTTGAATCCTCGCAACAGGGTGAGCTCCCGTTGCTCTGTCCCAGTTCCTGCCAACCTAGCAGTTCAAAAGCACACCAGTGCAAGTAGATACATAGGTACTGCTGCAGCAGGAAGGTAAATGGCGTTTCAGTGTGCTCTGGTTTCTGCCACGGTGTTCTGTTGCGCCAGAAGCAGTTTAGTCCTACTGGCCACGTGACCCGGAAAGTTGTGGACAAACGCCGGCTCCCTTGGCCTGAGAGCGAGATGAGCGCCACAACTCCATAGTCACCTTTGACTGGACTTAACTATCCAGGGGTCCTTTACCTTTTACCTTTTGTGTACAAATAAATGGGGTTGATTCATTACCTTGTTATTATAGACCTCTGGTAAGGGAACCTAAATATGCAGGAACAGGAGAGTAAAAGCAAGTTAAGAACCCCCAGTCTGGTCCAAGGTGGAAAGGACCTAATTCTCATGAACATGGTGAGCAATGTGTTGGCGTGCCAGGCAGTGTCTCCTTGTTATTCAGGTGAACAGCAGTTGTGGGCTGGTACATTGGCCAGTTCCTCTCTCCTTCAGCATCAGCATGACATCACAATGGCCTGTGTCTCTACTTCTGGTTGGACACATCCGTGTGAGAACACAGTGGCCAGTCTGTGAAATAGGCAGCATCAGCATGAGATCACAGTGGCCAGATTTTCTCCCTCAGGTGGCTAGCATGGGCCACATTGGGCAGCTCCTGTCCTTCAGGTAGGGAGCATCATCTTGTGGGGAGAGGCATTCATTCATCTTCATTCCTCTTCCACTCAGGCAGGCAGTAGCATGTGGGCAGAATATTTATTTCTCTTGCGGAAGCTGCCAAAAGCAGGTACATGTCAGCACAATCTCTTTCTCAGTGAGGTGGGCTTAGTTGGGAGCAGATGGTGGGCCCTGTATGTTCTTCTCTTAGTGAGGTGGTCAGCAGATGTATGAGAGTAGTGGTCATCTCACCGAAATGGGCAGCAGCATGCGGATAGAGAAGCAGCAGGCAAGGCAAAGAGCAGGCAAGTAGACAATCCATCTATTACAGGGCCTCTCTATTTACAGGAAGTGGGTGCGGATGGCACTGTGGTCTAAGCCACTGAGCCTTTGGGGCTTGCTGATCTGAAGGTTGGCAGTTCAAATCCCCACGATGGAGTTAGATCTCGTTGCTCTGTCCCAGCTCCTGCCAACCTAGCTGTTCGAAAACATGCCAGTACAACTAGATAAATAGGTACCACTTTGGCAGGAAGTTAAACAGCATTTCCATGCACTCTTGATTCTGTCACGGTGTTCCATTGTACCAGAAGCGTTTAGTCATGCTGGCCACATGACCTGGTAAGCTGTCTGTGGACAAACGCTGGCTCCCTCTGTCTGAAAAGTGAGATGAGCCCATAGTTTCCTTTGACTGGACTTAACCGTCCAGGGGTCCTTTACCTTTTACCTTGCTTTGGGGCTAGTAAACTGCTGCCCTTGGACTTCTGTTTTGAAGCTGTAATACCAGGGCTTTCAGCAATAACATGAAGTTGGCCCTGTAACAGGGCCAGATTAAAACTTCTAGAGGCCCCAAGCACATAAAAGATTTTGGTTCCCCCATATATATCTAATTCAAAATATAAGTAATAATAAACTGTAAAATAATTTATTTTTTTTTGAAATGAAACAAAAACTACAGTAGGATGGAAAATAATTGGGGTTTTTTGTATACTTCCACTTTATTTTTTAAAAAATCTCCTAAGTTCAAAGTGTTTGATCAGATCCTCAAAACTAATTTTACGTAACGCATCGGTGTCTATGCTTGGTAGAGATAATAATAAATTATTATTATTATTATCATTATTATTATTATTAATAATAATAATACCCCACCCATCTGGCTGGGTTTCCCCAGCCACTCTGGGTGGCTTCCAACAAAATATTAAAAAGGCATCCAGCCTTCCTTGTTACATAGTTGTTCTGTTGGAATTTTTAATATACTTCAGCTGAGAAAATGATTGCTCATCTGAGCAATTTGTGACCATTAATGTTAAAAATCTGACAATGGGAAATTTCTGTGGTGCCCCCCCCCCCCAATTTTTGGCACTCGAAAATGCCAAATTTTTCCATTTCTGCCCTTTTCCTACTACCACTATCCCTTCCCCAAGCCAGAAAAGCTTGACTTTGTGGGATGCGGTAGCAGGGGGTCAGAAGGCATAAGAGAGACTCTGTGGGGCTTGTTTAGCAAACTACAATTCCCAGGATTCTTTGGGGGGAACCATGACTGTTTAAAGTGATATGGTGCAGCTTTAAATGTCTAGTGTAGATGGGCCTTACTCAGAGCAGAACCTCTCACATCATCAGACTTAAGTTACTTAAATTCATCAATTTCATTGGGTCTAATTATAACTAATATCGGATATCAAGCTGCATTAATTTATGCCTTTCAAAATACCCTTTGCCTTTTTTATTTCTGTTAAGGGCCAAGCTAGACCCACCCACATCTGATGGGAGGGTGTTCCTCAGGGTGTTCCTCAGGGTGCCACCACCAAGAAGGCCCTCTGCCTGGTTCTCTATCCAGGCTTCCTCAAACTCGGCCCTCCAGATGTTTTTGGCCTACAACTCCTGTGATCCCTAGCTATCAGAACCCAGTGGTCAGGGATGATGGGAATTGTAGTCTCAAAACATGGAGGGCCAAGTCTGAGGAAGCCTGCTGTAACCTCACTTCTCACAGGGAGGGAACCACCAGATGGCCCTCAGAGCTGGACCTCAGTGTCTAGGCTGAACGATGGGATGGAGACGCTCCTTCAGGTATACTGGGCCAAGGCCATTTGTTGTTGTTCCAAACCATCTTTCCTGGACCTGGTGCCTTCAAGATGTTTGGGGCCACTGGTGTTGATGGGCAGTTGCTGTCCCAAACATCTAGCACACACCAGGTTGGGGCAGGTTACTTTAAACATCTGTGTCAGATTAAAACCCGCACAGACTCATATACGATTGATGAGATAAAAGATACCATTTCAATCTACTCCACGTCTCTCTTGCTGCGATCAATGCAATTGCAAACGTTTGGATCATTTGAAATCGCAGTACAGTGAACAAATAAAGTCAAACTCCCCGATTCTTGTCACAAAATGAGCAAAGCAAACAGTAAACACTCGTAATACAACATTTCAAAGAGGGGTGAGCCTGCTAAACTTTAGAAGAATGTTTTCCCCCAGAGAATCAAGCCTTATAAGCACTTGAATTCCTCTTTACTGAACATTCCCCGTATCTTTCACTTTGTGGTCTTAATGCTATGGTTGAATATTGTGTTTTAAGTTAGGAATGTCTAGTCCAATTCATTACACTGCCTACAAAGATGAGGTCATTCAGTATTGGTTCTCAAACATTATGATGGGCTTGCTGCGTTTGTGAGTTTGGTGTTTTATTGCACATTCAAAGCATCTGTTTCCTTCCTGTACTAACTAGAACAGTAAATAGTGGAAGCGAACTAGATTAACGAGTTAGAATAGCAAATACTGGAAGTGAACTGGATTAACCCGTCTGTGCTTTCCTTTCATTAGATTAGGTGTCGGGTAAGCAGAGAGGTTTAGGTTCTTGAAAAAAAGATTTGAAGGAATTGCAGCAGTTCCAGTAGCAGGAAGAGATTACAGGGTAAATGAAAAGTCCCACCCCCATCTCTCTTCCTTTTAAATTTTGCCAGTTTGATGATTGCATCGCGCAATCGTATTAGAACCGCTTGGAAAAAAAGTCTGGTCCCACTGAAAGGACGGCAAGTCTATCTTTGAAATCATTATTTATTTATTTTACAAATACAACTTTATAACCATCAAATACACATCCATATAAAGATATTACTCTGAATCTCAGGACTTCCTCCCATCCACTCCAAGGGTCCTTTTGTCAACATTTTCAGCTGCATAATTTGTATTTTATATCTATCCATATTGTCCATAGTGTGTGTTACAAGTGAGATTAAAATCCTGCTAATGTTTTCATCTGCTTACAGTGGTCACCTAAATAAATTATAAACTTTTCCCATTCTTGCTTGAATTTCTTGTCTTCTTGGTGCCTGAGCTTTCCTGTCAGTTTTGCCATTTCAGCATAGTCTAACAGCTTAGTTTGCCATTCCTCTCTGGTAGGGACTCTTTCTTCTTCCCATCTCTGGGCTACTAGCATCCTTGCTGTTGTGGCATACATAAAAAGTCTTTTCTGTTCCTTTGGAATGTCGGTACCTGTAACTCCTAATTAAAAGGCTTCTGGGTTTTTTTTTACAAAAGTTATTTTAAACATTTTTTCATTTCATTATGTATCATTTCCCAGAAAGCCTTTATTACCTTACATGACCACAACATATGGTAGTAGGTATTTGTACTTGTTTTATGTATTTTTGGTAGCTTGTTGATGTTTAGTCGTTTAGTCGTGTCCGACTCTTCGTGACCCCATGGACCAGAGCACACCAGGCACTCCTGTCTTCCACTGCCTCCCGCAGTTTGGTCAGACTCATGTTGGTAGCTTCGAGAACACTGTCCAGCCATCTCGTCCTCTGTCGTCCCCTTCTCCTTGTGCCCTCCATCTTTCCCAACATCAGGGTCTTTTCCAGGGAGTCTTCTCTTCTCATGAGGTGGCCACAGTATTGGAGCCTCAGCTTCAGGATCTGTCCTTCCAGTGAGCACTCAGGGCTGATTTCCTTCAGAATGGATAGGTTTTATCTTCTTGCAGTCCATGGGACACTCAAGAGTCTCCTCCAGCACCATAATTCAAAATTTTGCTAGCTTACTAGGAGTTAAATACTACTGGCACATCATTTTCCTATAATTTTCTTTCAGCGTACAACATGCCATGGATTTCAAGACGGCAAGTCTGTCTTTGATTCCATCTGTGGTCAAGAGAGATGGCACAACTGCTCTTAGCAGAAGCCTCTCTGCTGAAAGACCGGCGAGGAATTTAAGTGGACTCTGTTAATAGCAAAACAAAGGGTAGTGGTTATGACCAGCAGCAGCAGGCCACAAGAATCTTGTGGTTGCTCAGATGTATGGGGTTGAAAGGGAAGAGGTGAATATTGCCACTTACATCCATTCTTGACTCCTGCCATTAAGCTTGGCTTCATTCTAAGGACGGAACTAGATGGAACAATGCAGCCATGTTCATGCCTCTGCTCCATTCACGTGTAAAGTGGGATGTTTGTGTGTCAAAAGGAGTGTGTGAGGGAGGGGAGCACCCACCCACCCCAGACACACTCCAAGCAGTCAGCTACCCAGACAACCTTTTCATACCCTCCAACATTTCTCTCATGAAAATAGAGACGTCATTCCACATCGGGAAGTTTCTCCCACGCTGGATCTCACCACACACATAGACATCGTATTCACATCTACGCCAGTCACCTTGAGCCAATCACAACCTCTCCGCCAAGCCTACCTCACAGGATTGTTGTAAAGGGGGGGGAGGAAATGTGCGAGGGAAGGGATTGTACATGCCAGCTCCCACAGATGAAGGAAATGAAATTTTAGCTGTAAGCTGCCTTGAGTCCCTGTCATGGGAAAAGACATGAATGATAATGACGACGACAACAACAACGAGAATGATCAGGAACATACCAGAGAGTAAATCCTATTGACCTCAGTGGGACTTTGTTCTGGTTGCTGATTTCTGCACCATCTGAAGTTTCCGAACTATCTTCAGAGGCAGCCCCATGTGGAACATGTTGCAGTAATCTAACCTAGAGGTTCCCAGAACATGGACAGTGCAAGTTAGGCTATCCCTGTCCAGATAGAGATGCATCTGTGCCCAAGCAGATGGAAGGCACTCCCAACGAGGCCACCTGCAATTTTTCGGTTCTTTATACATATCCAAAGAGCTATTTTAAGTGCTTCCGAGGCTTTTGGCATGGCCAGTGCTATGTTTTTGGGGATTTTCCCCTCCTTATAATGAACATCAGCCTCTGCCCTACTCTACCAAAAACTGCCATTGAAAAGCCCCCTTCATCTCAAAAGCTATTTGCTACGTAATGTGGGACAGAGAGGGAGGGAGAGATGACACAGACTGCTCTTGAGGAACCACAAGACCAGAACCCCGTTTTGTGTGCATGGAACGGATTGTGCGATTCATGGGATTCTGGTCATTGTCTTTATTCTAGCCCTTCATCCATGAACATCTAGGCGCACAATTGCACTCAAACCAACTAACCTTCCGCATTCTTTTAGGGCCCTGTTTTACAGTTTGCTAAAAATATTGTCCGCTCATAAAAACAACAGATTAAATTTCCTTGGCAGTTACACACACACACACACACACACACACACACACACACACACCAATCCATAGATGTACAATAGCAAATAAGCTAACCTCATTCTGGCATGAATGAAAATACTTTCTCTAAGTGGTTAGAGTTCCTAAAACAGAATCTACATGCCATAAACATAACTATTCCGGTGAAATTGTTTGCACATGTCTCTCTTTCTTCCCCTCCCT